AGCAGCAGGGTGTTGGGAAAGGGAAATGGGTGACAGTTGACTCATATTCCTGCAAGTAGCACATCTCTAAATGTACTATATGTCTTTACGTCGTGCAGTTGAGTGTGGGAGTGCAGATGAAAACATTCCCTTGTCCCCCATTGTACTTTTGAACTTACGTTAGGGATTGCTCTGGAGGCCCTTTTGCCCTGAGTTTCACAATTTCACAAAATAAATATTACTCCCTAGCCACCTACACTGCAGTGCCTTTAGTTTGTTGGATTGTTCATGTGGTTCTGTACTTAGAAACAGAATGGTTCTGTAAGACCTAGGAAAATAGGTTTTTAAGATTGTTTTTGTTTTTGTTTCTGTGTATGTGCTTCTGTGAGTGTATGCCATGTGTGCAAGTGCTTACTGGGGCCAAAAGAGGGCATCGTATCACTTGGAGCTGGAGGTATCAGCAGTTGTGCCCTTAACCACTGGGTCATGTCTCCAGCCCCCAAGAGAACCCTATTTTTATGTAATTTGTATCCCAAATTTACCCTTAAATTGGTTACTACCTAGCTGCAGAATCCTAGACAAGTCTTATTTTCTCTTTAGACTATTTTTTTTTTTCCTTGATAGCTTTGTTACTCTGTCCCTGAGATAGTACTTACACTGATAGGAAATGACTGCCAGTGGGTGACTAAGGCATGCCTACCTTCTGCATGAATTCTGGTCCTGGTATCCATTTGCAATCTTCTCTGGATTCCAAGTCTTGAACTGATGGACAGTCGTATCACATAGTTAACCAGTTGGCTTTGTTGAGGGTGTCAGGTCCTTCCTCCACTTAGTTCTCAGCGGTTCACCAGGAAGACTGGGGATTCAGCACTAGTTTTCCTCACATCTCTGAGTGTGTCAGGGTGTTACAAAGCAAATGCAGCACTTGGAGATCCCTGGAGAGTCACAGTTGGGTCTCCTAGGTTTCCCTGGTGAAGTGGAGTCAAATGGGTTTCCAGTTTCCCAGCAGCCAGCATAAGGGAGATGTTTGTAACCTGGGTAGCCCATGGTAACTGAGTGCCTTGTTTTCACTGAGGACTGTGACATACTTAAGCTCCTTGCCACAATTACAAAACCCAGCAGAAAATCAGATGTTCAACAAAAAACACACAGGACAACTTAGGTCCAGTGAAAATAGGGTTGTCCCCTTGGAAATGCTGTAGAAAACAATTGGGAATCCAACTTTCCAAACAGCGCTGAGGACCAGCCCTTCAAGCAGGCCTTTTGGAAGAGGGAAGTCTCAGGCTTGCCCTCAGCTCTTTAAGCCTTTGCCAAATGAGACCACCTGAAATACTGGAAACAGATTGGTTTTACAGATTAACTCCTTGTTCTGCAAATAACTTGTTTGGTGATATTAGCTAAGTCACTTATCCTGTTTAAATCTTACTCTCCTCGTCTTTGAATTCCAGATAATGCTATGTATTTTGGTGAAAATGATTATGTACACATATGCATTGATATATATTATCATTTGTCCCCGAATCCACTTAGTCAAAAATGTTTATACATGCAATATATACATGTATGAAAATTTTTCTTGTACTCCACTATATGTGCAATTTTATACTTTTATATGTCAATTGAAAATAAATTTAAAATGTTTATTAATGAACTCCTAAATACCCTGAAAAACCTAGTGGTCTAGTTAATGGCTGAGGACATCTTGACTTTTTGCAATACAGTCTAGTTGGAGAGAATTTGGTCATAAATTTTAACTGTTCTAATGAATTTGTACTTGCAGTTTCTGGAAAGTGTTGGAAGAGAGCTGGAGAGTGTAAAAACAGTATGTGCTCTTAACTGCTGAGTCATCTCTCCTGCCCTTAAGTTGAGTTCTTGAATTGGTTGTTGAAGATTTTTGGTTCCCATCAGCACTTTGTTCACCTTTCTCTGATAATGATAAGGTTCATTTCTCCTAATAGTGATGCTGAAATGCAGGTTAGAAGGCAGCTATCTGTGGGTAATAGCAGAACACACCTGCCTTTAGAGAGTTGTGTACATTTTGTATTGATTATTAGGAGCAGTACAGAAGCAATAAGGCTCTTTATTTGTCATATGATAGACAGTGTCACTTGAGTTTTTTTTATTGAGTTTACTAACATTTTTACCTTCCTAATGGTCTTGCTGAATTGTGAGTCCTATTAAGGATGATAATTCATGTTATTAATTTATACTAGTAATGGTAAATAACGATCTATCCAGTCAAATCTCTGAACTTGTATCAGTTTTTGATTTATGTAGAAAAGATAGTTTAAAATAGAAAATGAGTCCCTTACAAAGTATTCTCTTTGTCTTCCTAAGATCTGGTGCTCTGTTTTAATGTGAACTATAAATGGTGACTGGCCAAATCATTAGTCAGTGAAGCCATGTTTGAAATATTACAAGGGAAGCTGATTCATATTTATTTAGTTTTTGTGTTTACATGTATGAGCATATTGTTTATGTTTGTGTTCATGTGTGTGTACATGTGAAGGCATAGTCATGCCACAGCATTCCAGTATAGGGGTTGGAGGACAACCTTGGGGTGTGGGTCTTCACCCTTCCAGTTTGATCAAGTCTGGGTCTTGGGCTAGAGAGGTGGCTCAGAAGTTAAGAGCACTGGGTGCTCTTACAGAGAACTTGGGTTCTATTTTCAGCATCCACACAGCAGCGGACAACTGTCTGTCACTCCATTTTCAGGGGATTCAACACCGTCAGGCATTCACAGGTACCAGGCACCCATGTGCAGATAAAGCACCCATACAAAGAAAATAAAAATACATAAATCTTTAACGCAATGGATTGTGTTAAAGCTGGATGCCATCACCACTGCATACATACGGCCTGCTGGCCAAGAGCTTCTGCAGATTCTCCTGTCTATGCCTTGTGTCTCCCCTGCAGGGCATGCTGGGATTAATAAACCCTTTTGCTGCTCCTGAACCCAGCCTTCCTTGGGTTCCAGACATCCAGCTCAGGTGGTCAGCCTTGCCCATCTCTCCAGCCCTGAAAAACTTTGTTCTTTAAAAATAATAATTTAAAAATATCTTTAAGATACCTTTACTCAATATCTTAGTTACTGTTCTGTTGCTATGAAGATTTGACCAAGGCAAATCTTACAAAAGAAAGCATTTAATTAGGGACTTGCTCACAGTTTTAGATAATTCATAATCATCATGGTGGGAAGCAGAAAGGCATGGAGCTGGAGCAGTAGCTGAGAGCTTTACGACCTGATATTCTGGCAGCAGGGGGTGATGGGGCGGGGGCTAGGGGGAGCAGGGAGATAGACAACAGACAAACTGACAGACAGAGACAGAGAGACAAAGACAGACATTGGGCCAGGCATGGGCTTTTGAAATTTCAGAGCCCACCCCAATGACACTTCCTCCATCAAGGCCACAACTCTTAATTCTTCCCAAACTGTTCCATGCCCTGGTGACTAAACATTCAAATATACATGAGCCTATGGTGGCCATTCTCATTCAAACCACCACTCAGATCCTCAGATCGTCACATCATTTATTAATAGATGGCTTTATTTTATTTGCAACATTTATTTATTGAACCGTAAATTTTGTAAGATACACTTCTTTTTTAACAGAAATCTAAAAATGCATTATTTATCTTGATGGAAATGTTGTTCCTTTTGGTTTAGATAATGAATGTTTATTTTACCTGCATTATACTTATTTTCTATAGTAAATTATTTTCAGAACTTGAGATGAAGAATTACCTTAGTTTACTAACAGATTCCTATGTTCCATAAATCCTATGACTAAAGATTGTGTATGACTTAGGGGGCATGCAGGACCTTTTCAGTTTTCTTATATCTCTAGGGCATGGAGAATTAAGTGGGATAGCCTGGTGCTTATAAGGTTGAGATGTTAGTTTGACTGTTTTTGTCTATGACTGCTCCTAATTGTGGAAACAGAAATGCCCCCACTCTTTAGTGCTTGCTGGGGAAGATACATCTTTTATGAATTTTCTAGCATCCTTTTGTATGATAAATATTACCCGTCTGTCTACAGTAGCTTTTATAGATGTTTGTTAATAGGTCCTTAGTCTGCCTGCCTCTGTTAAGAGGTACTATAGTAAATTAGAGGAAAGCTGCTATAAAAGGGCACCAAGCCTCCGTATTTACTGATGGCATCACTAGCGTTGCTGATTTTTGTCCAAATTACTGTTTAAGAAACTAAGTAATAAATGAGTGATACACATGTGATGCCTTTTAAGACTTTTAGTATAAGATTTTATGAGTAGGAGGAAAAGTAAGACTTTTTCTACAATCTGCTTTCAATTTGGTAAGTTTATTTTAGAGGATTAGAATTAGTCTTGCAGCTAGGTCAACGAGTGTCACTGCTGAGTAGATGGAGCTCGAAGGAGGTCACTTGAAATTATGCTTCAAAGCTGGGATGGTTTATAGGTAACAGTGTGGGTTGGTAATGAGGTGATAGCTACAAAAGTTTAACCCTTACAAGTAAAATAGGCATGTTGTGAAAGCTTTTCTCTTGTATTTGAAATCTCTAGTCAGAACTTGTTTTTCCTCACCCACTAATGAACTTTATATACCATTAAAATAATTTCTTACGGGCTGGAGAGATGGCTCAGCGGTTAAGAGCACTGGCTGCTCTTCCAGAGGTCCTGAGTTCAATTCCCAGCACCCACATGGTGGCTCACAACCATCTGTAATGAGATCTGGTGCCCTCTTCTGGCCGGCAGGCATTCAAGCAGGCAGAACACTGTATACATAATAAATAAATAAATCTTAAAAAAAAAAAAAAAAAAAAAAAGATCTCCTTTTTAAAAAAAAAAAAAAAATTTCTTACTACATGGCTTCATCATTGGAAAACTCATCCGGAATGCCTGTTTTTTCAGTTATTCTTTGTTTAGTCTTATCTAAATTAACTAATCAAAAGCATTCTCATGAGATAATGAAGTTTACAATCACTATAGTGAGTTATGGAGTGATAGCGTTTAATTTTTTAAAAAAACCTTTTATGTTTTCACAGATAAATTATTAGTCATAACTGTAGCAACAAAAGAAAATGATGGATTCCACCGATTTATGAATTCAGCCAAGTATTTCAATTATACTGTAAAGGTACGATATATCTTTGAATCTTTGGATTTATTAGAAGACTAGAAGGTTTCTTCATTTAAGTCTGAAAAACAAGAATAAGATAGTATGAGAAATACTTTCTGGGTCTACTTCTACGGGTTAGAATCAACTTTTGAAATGTTTAGAATGGTATGCTAGTGGCGGGCGACATTGAAGAATTATGACCTACTCATGCATTAATTTCCTCTTCTCTAGCATTGTGCTTTAATTAGAAATAAATAGTGGGTTACTGTATAAGTTTCTGTTGACATTTTTATGCTATTATTACCATTGGCATTTTCTCAGGATGACATCTTGATTTCATTCATAGGTTCTTGGTCAAGGGCAAGAGTGGAGAGGTGGAGATGGGATGAATAGTATTGGAGGGGGCCAGAAGGTGAGGTTAATGAAAGAAGCCGTGGCCCAGTATGCCAGTCAGGAGGATCTGGTGATCTTGTTTACTGAATGGTAAGAGAAATATTCTGTGGGGTTTTCAGTCTGTATTACATTACATTTAAAGATTGAAATTTATAACAAGTTTGAATGTTGAATTATTTTACTGACAAAGGATCATCATTGTAATAAGTATGTTTTCCTCAGTTATAACTATGTCTCTAATAAGCGATCTCTGTTTCTAAGCCCAAACTTAAAAGCCTGATTGCTTTATACTCAATTTTTTTTCATTAGCAAGAATTTTTCTTCTGTGTAAAATAAATTTATTACGCATGAAAAATCACAATCTGGGCCAATCTTGTAATGTGTTAAAGGTGAGGAGTTATAATAAGAACTAATGAGAAAAAAGACCTAGTTTCACATTTTTGTGAAATTCGTTTTAGTCTTGAGTTAAAGTGTGATAGAGGTCGTACTTGAGTACACAACTGAGGAGACAGCCGAATGGGTTCTGTGGAACTGTGTACAAAAGTGTCTTGTAAAGTTATAAATCCAAGGGAGGTAGGAGACCCTGTGCTGCCAAGAACAAAGAACCTTCCGGGCAAAAGTTTCTTTGCATTTATTTACTTTTGAGCTTGAGCTGAAATCCAAAGGGCTCCACACCCAAAGCATGCATTCCCCCTAGTTCACAAATACCATTTTGTATATTGCCTTATTCTCCTAATTAGTTTGAAATGTCTCAAATCTTTCCTTAACTTCTTAGGTATTTTAGAAACACCAAGTTGTGCCATATTACGTTCTTCGTATCTTCCTTTTTCATTTTTATGGTGTTGATTCTGATCATTCATTTTAAATCCTGTTGAATTCTCCTCATTGGTGTGAGAAAGCCATCTTAAATCTTTTTTTTTTTTCAATTTCCAAGTACAAAGACACATTAATTGCAGATGAAAATAAAGGTGTTGGTTCTTCAGCAAAGCTATATTTGAGGATGGCCTAAGCTTTGACATAAAAGTCGAAATAATGATATCTAAGTGCCATCGACACTTAAAACTTTCATGCTTAGAACTTGATGTCTTCCAAATGAAAACTTTCTTATATGTACCTTTGCAAGTTGAATAGTTGAATTGTGATATGGCAGATGTGGTTTAGCTTGTGCACTGTGAAGTTTTCTACATTGTTTATATATATATATATATATATATATATATATATATATATATATATATATATATATAAAACATATATATAATATCTAGATTAAATTCTGAGCACAGATTTCTTATACTGACCTCACTGAACTTGAACCTGACACAAGCAAATTGGGATTTTGCTTATAGGCAGGTAATCTGTGAACAGGCAACCTCATAGAAGCTAGTTTTGATCTTAAGATTCCTGAGCCTCGGAGTTTGGAGAACCTGGTTTTCTCTATGCCTCCCATCCCAGCCTCCTTCCTTCCCTATTCATAGATTTCATCTTGGAGAGCTGGCAGTGTGAGGATTTCAGCTGTTTCTGACAGACGGGAGAGGGGCATTACAAGATACCCATAGCCTGGGGCAAGTCAGTGTGGTTCAGTTGGATTGTATTTAAGACTCAGCTTGGTAGAAAATACAAGCGTATTTAAGGAAGGTCCGGTGTTCCTAGGTGCTGTCAGGGTTAGCCATGTGTCGGTGGGCCAGCCAGATACTCCTGAGAGCAAAGCTTTAAAAGCAATACCTGTAGTTTTACCTAGAAAAGCAGGTTTATTTGATGACACCCCCTCCCTGGCAGTAGTGACAGCTTAAGTGTGCAGACACAAAGGAGTTTGTCATTAGTGATGGGCAGCATTCCATTTTATTAGGAAAGAAGCAAAACACACTGTGGTTCCCTGTTTCTGTACTGTGTAACTTTCTTTTTTCCAGGAAAGATTGAAATTGTTAGATGTCGCTTTAAACTTAGCTCCCGTCCATTCATTGGTGTAAATGTGCTAAAAATCAAGTAGGAAATGGGTGTGTTTTCCTCTTTCACACTCTCTGTATATTCTTGTCAGTATTCCCTGGCTTTAGTCAGTATAGTCGTGGACATGGAGGAGTGAGGGAGAAGCACATGGTCTACAAAGGCTTTGTCAGCATGTGATTGCAGGTGTTTGTCATAGGTGACAGCTGTGACTGTGTGTGTGTGTCTGTGTGTGTCTCTGTGTCTATGTGTGTTGCAGGTACTAAAGGTTCCATAGTGTTGCATTAGGGTTTATCTCTGGAAATAGCAAAATGTATCTGAGGGGAGACTTGAGACACATAGTTTTCAGATGTGGGCCTGCATCTGTTTTATTCTGTGACTTTATTTCAGCCTATCCCTTATAGCTAATGTTTGAGATGATTGTTATTTTTGTTTAATTCTATGCATGTGATGATCAGTATATATTGGATTAGGGAGAAATAAAAATGTTATGGGAGACTTCTGTGGCTTTTCTCCTTGGCTACCCAGTAGCCTTTACCTCTTGTTTAGATACAATATAATTCATTTATTGGCTGAGTCACTCATTTGTTCAACAGACATTTGCTGAGTATCTTCAAGATCCTCAGCTGAGGGCCTGTACAGATGGTAAAGTCATGAGTCTGGCTTATAAAGGAAAAGATGCAGCCTGGTTTAAGAGAGGCTTTTTTTGACTAGGTGCATAAAATAGAAGGAATATTGGGTGAGTAAGGAGAAGGAAAGGCTAATGAAAGGTAGCTGGAAAGAAATGATATTTTCCTGCCATGTTGGTGTCTGGAGGAGTTGACATTGGAAATGGGCCTTGAAGGCAAATGGCTTGGACCCAGTTAGAAAATACATGTTGAGTAGATGCTCATTATGATGACACACGTGATCCCACATGAAAGAACTGAGATTAGCTTCTGAATAGGATAGTACATGGAGATTACTTGTGTGAGCCTGAATTTACATTTTATTCTATAGGACAGGTATCCATAAATGGGTTTTGTGTGGCCAAACATTGTTCTGTAGCTTGAGATCTGCATTTTCTTAGGTCTTGTGACTACTTTTGTACTAACCTGGCAGAATTAAATTTTTTGACCAAGTCTATGTGTCCTTCAGAGTCCAAACTGTCTTCTACAAGCCAGTGTAAATATTCGGTGACTCTTATTTTAGGCCACAGCTAGAAACTACTCATTGACTCAGGGGTGTGGTACCTCAAGAGACTATCTGAGCCAGGAGTGTGTATGGCAGAGGGTGGTAGATCCCTGGGAGAGTGCCTGTGTAGCCTGTGGGGTCTGTAAGTCAATCAGGGTCATTGTCTTCTGGGAGAGGAGTTGAATAGTAGATGTAAGGTGGAATTAGTAAGACAAGGCACATCGATTTTGATGGAAGCTGTCATGAAGAGGGCTGTCCAGGATGAAGGATGGAATTTCTTCCAGTATGGGTAACTGTGATTGAAGGTACCAGAGAAATAACACAGAAGGACAAACACTCATAAAATCCCAATGACCTGTTGGAGATAGAACTGTGACATGTCTGGGTTCAGTATTATGGGTTTTGCAGGACTTGGGGCTATTTACTATGCTTAAATGTGGAAAGTTTTATTTTATTCTTCATGTTTAAAGGGACTGAGTTCCTGTGAGAATTATTTTTATGACCTCTTTGCATTCATTTTTTTAAGAAATTTTTTTTTTTTTACATTTTTGTGGTTCAAATAATTTTAAGTAGAAAAACTTTCATTTTGAGAAGTTTTAAATAGGCTCAAAGATATTTTCTGAGGAATTTAAACAGAAATGACACCTGCTAGAATAAATGGGGAAAATGTCACCATCCTTACCTTTTTAGCTGTGTGTGGTGGCACCTGCTGGAAATGCCAATACTTGAGAGGTGAAGGGAGAGGGATCATGAGTTCAGGGCCGGGGCCTGGGCTTCATAGTGTGTTCTTCGCTTGCCTGGGCTAAATAAGATCCTTTCTCAAAAAAGGAAATATTTTATATTTTCAGCCAATGTAATATTCTCACTTGAATTGTATGAAAATGATTTCCTTTTCTTGTGCTTTAGAAGAATTGCATTTTAAAAGTAATGTTTATAAAGTGCTAAATTATCAAATTAAACTTCATACTTTTTCCTTTTATAAGCTATTGGCTTCATTAATAGTCTGAGATACAGTAATATCTTTGTCCTTCACTACAATTTCAAAGATGAAAACATTCACTTTCCAAATGGCATCTGTGACTTTTTTGGGGCTGTGCTGGGGATCAAACCTTGCCAGCCTTCCTTCTCCTTAGGCCAGTGCTGTACCTGAAGTTACATTCCCAACCTCTTTCGTAACTTTTGAGTATATGGTGCTACTTACAAATTTTCTAAGGTTAGATTTTAAACCTTGGTTCTTTGACATACCAAGCTATATTTTTTACTGTTTTCAGAAATTGTCTTGGCTTCCTCCGAGGCTCACTGTATACCTCCCTCAGAGTTTGAGTTTTTGGCCTCATCTTCAGTCTTATTTTCTCTCTCCACGTCTCCCACCCCCTCTTTCTTTCTCGTTCTCTCTCTCTCTTTCTCTCTCTCTTTCTTTCTCTCTCTCTTTCTCTCTCTCTCTCTCTCTCTCTCTCTCTCTCTCTCTCACACACACACACACACACACACACTTCACACGTACTTTGGAATAAAACAAGCATGTTAAAGGTAAGATTGATGAAGTCAATTAAACTGAAAAGTGTATTTGTTTTGTTTTGTAAATCAGGTTAGTTTGTTTAATTTTAAATAAACACATCAAAAAGTTAATTTTGAGATGTCAGTCAGAATAATTTTATTGAGATTTGAAGCTTATTGTTTAAAAATACTCATATCTTTAGAGCTTATTTTAAACACTCAGGCTTACACTGACTTTTCCTGTGTCCGCTTCCTAAGCAGTCCCTCCTCCAGCTAATAACCAGAGACTACCGTGTTTGCTAATTTATGCAGTACTTCCAGTGTGCAAGCAAATGTTATTTAACAACATTTATAGACACTTCCCTTCTGCTTTAAAACTGAGAAATTAAACCAGATTAAATAACTGGTTTGGTACTCTGATGGCTGGCAGCAAAGCTGGGCTCAGCCTGCAACTGGCAGCCTTCCATACATGATGTGATAGACTTTTTGACTATGCTCTCAGTAGTGCTAACAGCATCTCGCTTATTGACTCTGAAAAGAAAAACAAAATTCCACTATGTACCTATGTATCTGCAATCTTTCTGTATTAGTCTGCCTATCTGGATATTCATGAACAAATTTAATTATGAAGTACAATATTTTCATAGTAGAAATAAAAGTAACTGATAAAATTTAAATTTTCTAGAATGATTTCAAGTGAAAAGAAATGAACTGATTTCAACATTGCTTTCAGCTATTATTAAAGAATGAGGAGATAACAAGAGTGGTGGATTGTACAAGTAATTTCAGCCCTCGGGGGTTGAGCTAGGAGGATTTCAAGTTTAGGGACAGTCTGGCCTATAGAATGAGACTCTTGTCTCAAAATAAATTAGTAAATACCAATTTTGTTTAGCAGAATTCCAGAATTTAGTTGTGCAAGTTTGAACTCATTTTTGAGTCAGTTGGTCTATATTGTAAAGATATAGCACGTGTTTTCTCCAGTCAGCACTGTTCCCTGTGCGGAGGACAGAGCAGAGTGGTGTGGGCAGTGTCCTTTTCAAAGGACAGGACCTGGCGGTGGTGCAACCTACTTCCTCTCCACTGTGCTGGATAGAGTGAGTCGTGTGGCACGTCTTCCCTCACAGTACTTTCTAAGCAGGATGGCCATGCGCTCAACTTAGACATGAGCCTTGACACTGTTAAAGGGACAGGGATTGTCTCTGCCAAGAGCCTAATGGAGAACAAAAACTTACAGTGTTTTGCTAAAAGTTACTTCAAATATTTTTTGGCTTTTTAAAAATATATTGTAGAGATGAGTGATAATGTGTTACTTTGAAAAAACAATATAAATACATTAAACTATACATTATTAAATCTTACATGTCCATCTCCAGTAAATACAGATGGAGAGCATAGATGGAGCAGCTGTGTACTTCCTGACAGGTCCTCACAGTGCATCTAAGTGTTAGCTAAGGAGCCCTTTGCAGAAGTCAAGATCATGAGCTTGCCCTTCATGTTTGCTACCTAAGATAACCATTCTCTTAGTGTCCTGCAGGCATTTGGCTTTCACGTACACTGATGTAAAAACAAATACAGGTAAATTTGAGGTTGGAATAAGCCGGGACTTTTTGCGGAGAGTTTACATTCCTCATAGAGGTTTTTACAGTTAATTTTCTGTTACATTGTGGTTCGGTGAGTTAGCACTGAACAAATAAAGTCCAGGGAAAAAATGTGGTCAAACATTAGACCTCAAATTATATTATTAACTTTTACCTTGATTCAAATTTATAGAGCTTTAAAAAGATGAATATGCCTGAATACGTTCCATAATACATAGTATATCAGCTATTAAATGTGCACTGATGCCTATGTGAGACATTTGTCAAAACCAGTTTTTCAGAGATAATAATAGATTGGTACACATATTACTGAAATATTTGACTGTTAAGATGAAAACTTTTATGTTCATGCCTGTGCCATTAATTTATATGAATTGTAACATTTGCACACTGACTTTACAATTTTTATTTTGGAGATAAGTTATCTGTTATAATGAAAATTAGGACATGTTTGTATTTCATTTGTGAATACATAGTAAAATCAAAATCAAATGTAATTCATATGTGAGTTGGAAGGAGATTGTCTGATGTGTTCTCTAGACAGCTGTGTTAATCCTAGGATTCTAAATTCTTGTTTTTTAAGGATTTTTTTTTTTTTGGTTATGTGCTTGAATTCTGAACCATGCATTTTAAAGCATGTTTGTTTCTTTTTTAAACAGTTTTGATGTTGTATTTGCTGGTGGGCCTGAAGAACTCCTAAGAAAGTTCCAAAAACTGAATCACAAAATCGTCTTTGCAGCTGACGGAATTCTATGGCCAGATAAGCGGCTGGCAGACAAGTACCCTGTAGTGCACATTGGAAAACGCTACCTGAATTCAGGAGGTATGAATGATGCTGTGAATGAGAAATAAATGAGGCTGTGCCAGCTTCACAACCATGATCTATGAAGTATTCTGAGAGCTCATGTGCAGTTTAGAGCTGAAAAGTCATTCTCGTGTCATATCCATGTATCTAGGCCGTGTGGATGTCTGAGCTTCCATGTTGCAAGTGAGAAGTCATGTCTTCTGATTACCATTTATTGAAAGATTTTGGGTCTAGGATATTAAGTTTAATAAGCTTACTTTGAAAAAGTTCATGTTTAATCTGTAATCACATGATTAAAAAGAACCACTTGTTAATGTGATCTGTTTTAAAATATATTGTATGGAATTAATTGTTTTGACTTTTGTAGCCAAAATCTTAAATAGTGTCTGAGTGTACAGAGGTATTACATTCTCTATGTGAGTCACCACAGAATAAATAACCATGATCGAATACACTCCTCTAATGATAAATGAAAATTTGACCTTGGGCATATTGTGACTACACTGTGTTTCCCTTGCACTGTAAACACATAGACAGAAAGAATGATCAGGTAGGATAGAGGATGTATTCTGTATAAGAATAATGTGTGAAAACCATACTTTTGGTTTCAAATGAGTGAGTTGATTTGGTATATAAAAGCAAAAATAAAAGAGAAAGTTGCAGATAGAAACATCAAACATCAAATTAGCCATTTATAATATGCAGCAGTAGCCTGGCTGAGAGTGCAGAGGAGGCTAACACTGTCAAATCTGCATCCAGCAGAAGTTGGCTGGGGGAGACGCAGTGGGGCAGGGTTCCTGAGAATCCCTCCATCAGTGAGCTGGCTTCCTGTTTCCACTGTCCTGAGTTTTGTGTTATGGGAGAAACAGTAGTAACCAATGTTGGAAATATTTCACCTTCAAGCTGTTCAGTTAAACAGTGTGTTTACTCCCTTAGCTGTTAACTGGTTTTCCCATTTCAGAGCCAGGGGTCAGCCTGGCCCAGGACGTGGTTTTGGATACACTTGACATGAACATGCTTGAATCTGACACAAGAGAGGGCTCTTAGCTGTTCAACAAGCTTAAATAGAACATGACAGTTTACCAGTATAGTGTGTCTTAGAGCATGGCAGAGAGATAAGTTAGGTCTAGTTGCAAGCCATATTGGGAAATGGATGTTTGGAGTGGTCTTTGAATCGATAGTGGATCCTGTTCAGACAGCTCCGTAAATGCTGTTTGAGGTAAGCATGTGTAGGTTGCAGACATTGCTTAGTCATCTGTGGTGATGTAGCTGTTAGCAAGCTAGTCATTTCTCTGTAGTGACTCAAGCTCAGCATTTACATCTGTATTTCATTTCAGCAATTCTCCCTACAGTCGTAATTTAGAACTTTTCAGTCTGTATGGACCTCTGAGACTTCAGGTTTCAGCCTGTGCTTTTTAGAGCCCTCTTTCCTCCATTCCAACACATATTGTCCATGCATTTGGGGTCTCTTGACCCTTGTATATCTTACCAGACTGTTTGCCATCCTTGAGGGGCATTGTTGCATTCAAGTCAGTGTCTAGGCTTTGCCATGTTAGTCTGCTGACATCACTGCCCTGCTACTGAGCTGGCTGCCCATTTTTCTTTCTCCTCTGGAGCCATTGCCCCAGGTATGGCACTGCTCCTCTGCCCTGGCCACTGAACTGTCGAGCTCTCAGTCACAGTACATAGTTCATTTTACAATTTGACCCACATTAGAGGTTTTTAAAACATAAATTTTAACGGAGCTGTATAGCTTTGGATTAGGTTATATTTTGTATTCAGTTAATTTTTTCCTGGAAGTGGCATGCACATGAGAATCTGTGCTGTGGAATCAACAGACATTAGCAAGTAAGTGCTGCTGTTTGCCAGTGACCTAATACAGGGCAAGTCCTTGGAGGTAAAGCACTCGATTTCTCTCTACAGTCAGAATTATTAGAGAGAAGGCAGGGAGCATGAGTGAGTGCAGTCAGAGTGTGTGATTTCAGACAGTTTGTGAGAGACCTTCAAAGGACATGAGTTATGACTTAGTAAAAATGTACCAGTTACTTTTAAAACATGTTAATAGAAAAAATAAATTATGAATGCATCTGATTGTAATTTTATTTCATTTCTTTTGAGATATTTGGTCTTAGGAGAAGGGTAAGGAAACAATTTTTTATAAGACAATAATATAAGCCGTTGGAAAATGTTACATCAGTATTTTTTATTATTCGAGATCATTTATAGTTATGAAAAATACATTGTCAGGCTGGAGAGATGCTCTGGGGTTGAATGCTCACTGTTTGTCCAGTTCCTGGCACCCACATCACATCGACCAGCTCATAAGTATTGTAGCTCTTATTCAAGGGGATCTGACATTGTCTTTTGACCTCTATGAGCACCTGTACACACATGGCTCACATAAAAACATGCAGGCAAAAATAAATCTTTTTTTTAAAAGTTCAGTTTGTGTGTGGTGAGTGTTGTCTGTCAATGAAGCAGAGCAGCTGGCTGCATGTCTGAAACTCAGGGCAAGACTTAGAAAATGATCCTGTTGTCTCTGTCTTTATAGATACATGCCATTGGCAGATTCATCACATAGGCTCGAAGGCCAAGAGGAACACTCCAATTTTAGACTTCCTTTTCCCAGACAATGACATGTAAAATCTAGCCAGGAAAACGGTCTACCAGGGACAGTAAGACTGGTTTCAAGTAATGGAAAACATTCCCCAAATTCCCTAGATAGAAAGTTTCTTCAGGATTTTTGTAGTTGGTGACAACCCACATTCTTTGCCTACATTGGAATCTTGGCACAGCAGGAGACATTTCCTTCATTCGGAAGCAGTGGTTCCTTTTCAGTGGGTTCAAGAGCAATTCACAAGGTCTAGAGGAATTCCATCTTACTCTGCTCTGTCCCTAGTTAGCCTTCCTTTAGGAACCTTGCAAAGCAAGTTCTTATTGGTCAGTTAACTTCAGGAATGCATATATTTAAAAGCATCTTTGATTATCTTCCTTTGTATTATAATTAGTGTTGTCTCTCCATCATAGCACACATACATGTGTGTTGGACCTCATGACTTTACAACTTTGTCAGCTGTTCAGTGGAACTAAGTTGACATGCATTTTTGTCTTTGAATCTGAGCTCTCCGCTGTGTTTGTGTATTGCAGGCTTCATAGGCTATGCTCCATACATCAACCATGTGGTCCAGCAGTGGAATCTGCAGGATAATGATGATGATCAGCTCTTTTACACTAAAATTTACATCGATCCAGTGAAGAGGGTAAGGAATAGCTTGCAAGTTCTCCATTGCTGTTTTGGCTGCTTTGACTTTTATATTTTCCTCAATGAAGTGGTCAGAAACAAAAGGATTTGGGGAAACTGAATTGCAGATTATTTTTGTTAATATCACAGTTGAAACAGTACAGGTCCCTGGAACAAGCAGTGAGTAGGTGACCTTGGTCTCCCTTCCTTCTTTGGGTATGTGAACTCTCTGATTGTCTCTGTATCTCTCAGTGACTGAGATATTGCCAACTTAGGTTCATTAGAGAGGAAAAAAGTAGGTTTAAGACCCTGTTATTCACCATATTATGTGGAAACACATCAAATGACTAGAAAATTCAGGGCCAACCTCTACTAGAGTGTAGCCTCACCTGCTGTATACTTACTGCCAGGTCTCTCAATATCAGAATGAGTAAAGCCAGTAAGTTTCTGAGCCTGGAGACCAAAAACAGTACCAGACAATGATGTCATATTTGGAGCAGACATCTGTCATTAAGACACGATGTTCTATCAGTAACAGTTTAAAAAGCCTACCGCGATACCTGGCCATACTTTGATTGGTACTTTGAAATGACGTATGGATAAGCCCACTCAAAAAGTTTGTCACACTGGAATGGACGTCTCTGTAAGACTTGTCCCTTGGAGTTTGAGGTGCCTCACCATTGTCCAGGTTGCTGGAATTGTAGATATAGCTTTGGACATGGTCCTATGAAGATAGATCTCATTGTGTTTTATAGCCTGCTGGAGGACTAAGAATGTTTGCAAAGAGGCTGAGCAGATGGCTCACTGGATAAAACATTTGCCTTGTCAGCTTGAAGACCAAGTTGGGATTCTTAGTACCACGTAAATGCCAAGCAGGCTCACCTGTAGTCTTAGTTCAGAGAAACAGAGACTAGAGGTCCCTGGAGAAAGCTGGCTAGCTAGATTAACTGAGGTGGTGAGCTCCAGACTGAAGTGAGAGATCTTGCCTCCATAGAAGGTGGAGAGCAATTGAGAAAGATACTCAGTGTCTACTTCTGGCTTCTACATACATTTGTACTCACACCTAGGCAAGCACACACACAAGCATGCGTGCACATGCATACATACACACACACACACACACACACACACACACACACACACACACACACACACACACACACACCCACACACCACATATACACACTAGCCAAAAAAGGGGGAGCAGAAAAACAGAGTGCTTTAGAGTGTAGATTATGGAATGAATAGATCATGGAATTCCAGAGATTGTGGCCTGAGATTCTAGGGGCCAGAGACAGAGCCTTATTTCCTAATAAAAATACTATAATTATCACAAATAAAATAACTAAAAATAGTAGTGGGCTAAATAAGGTAGGTGTTTGTCCATGTGCTTATTTTTTCCTTCTCACATGCTAAAAATAAGAGGAGCATTGGCTGTAACAGTGGTGTTCAGCTTTTAAGCAAGGTAGCTCTTCACTGTTCCATAGATAGTCTGGAGTGCATATTTCAGTGTGTCCTCGGTAGCCAGAATCACAACTGGAGTTCCAGTCATCACAGTCATATTCTGGGCAGAGAAAATGCATGATAGTTTAAAAAAAAAAAAAGGCCATTTAAATTCACGAGCTCTCCTTAGCTAGCCTTTCAAGAAGGGTCAGGAAGTGCATTTACTTTTCTGGACAACTTACCATGTAACTGCACATAACACAAATGATATTTCTTGCTTTTACAAAGACATAGGCCATACTGAAAATCTGGGGACTGTTAGAACCAAGTCTGCCACAGACTTTATAGAGAAAGTTCATAAAATTGATTTAATCTTTAATTCAGAGGAGAAAAAGCAAACTGTAACTTGAAACAAATGGTATTTAAATAATGTGAAGTAATGTTTTGTGCATTTTCTGTGCACTGCTGATGCAGTTGTAATGTTCCTTGAGTTGGGAGTTCTCCACACTGTCACCAGGGGAGCAGGGCCCACGTGTGTGTTCCACAGTGCTCGCACCTTCTGAGCTGTCTTAGACACCTGAATAGTTTCATTAATACACGATATATCTGTATGACTGTATTGTTGTTTGACTGTTTCTGTTGTAATTGTCAATGTTAACCAATTTTCCTTTTTTTTTTATTTTTATTTTTAAGGAAGCTTTTAACATCACATTGGATCACAAGTGCAAAATTTTCCAGGCCTTGAATGGAGCTACAGGTACAGATGCCCACACTGTCTTCTCATGGATGTGAATGCCTATTTTCAGCATTCTCTCCTGTGTTAGAACATTGGGGGCTATGACCAAGGTGGCAACCTTTAAAATGTTAAAAAAAGAAAAATCAAATACTGAATTTAATTTGATGTTTCCATATAGTTCAGAAAAAATTCTTTCCTGATGTCAGTACACTCCTGCAGAGTGTGTGCATGCACCCACACACTCAAGACTATCTGCACAGTCTGTGCACACTTTTGAGTACACTCATAGTGTATGTGTATACCTGCACACTTAAGAGTACACTGTGTGCTCATCCTGCACACTTATGAATACACTCCTACAGAGCACATGTGCACTCCTACAGAGCATGCTCACTCACCCTTGCCCTGTGCACCTATGAGTACATACAAAGAGCATGTACACACTGATACACTTGGAAGTACATATGCAAAGTATGTGTACACACATGGACTTGTGTGTGTATACTTAGAGTATGTGTCCACACTAACACATAAGTCAGTACACTCTAACAGTATGCACACACACTTATACATGTGTTATATACTCCCACAGTATGTGCACATAGCACATGTACACTTATGAGTATATGCACAAAGTGTACACACACCTGCATATGTGAGTACACTCACAAAGCATGTGTACATACCAGTACATATGTGAGTACGTTCTCACAGAGCATATGGGCACACATGTACACTTGTGAATACACAAACAAGCGTGTTTGCATACTTGTGAGTTCACATGCAGAGTGTATGTGCACATGAGTACACACCTGCACACGAGTACACACATAGCATGTATGTACCCCTGCACATTTTTAAGTACTGGCTCAAAGAACATGTGAATACATCTGCATACTTATGAGTAAACACACAGTGTATGCATACAACTACACACTTTTGGTTACTCAGACAGAACTTGTACACACACGTACATACTTGTGAGTATACACACAGATATGAACATTCCAGCATGTGTGAGTACATCTGCACAGATTGCCCATGTACATACTTGTGAGTATCCTTGATATTATTTATATATATATACCTTAGTATGACATATCAATGCATTAATCTATGTACTAAAAGTCAATATTTTTTATCTATTAATGCATATTACTTTAAAAATTAAGAATATGTTATAGTTCTATACAGTTCATGGTGCTGCCCGTAGAGTGATTAGATTCTTGGGATAGAAGGCATGTAGTGTTTAAAACTGTGAGGAAAGGAACCAGATATACAAACACAGCACCTCTCGTGATCCTCTCTGTTTTTCTGGACTGTCACAGAAGGCCAGTTGAGTGCTGTACATCTATCAGATGGCCAGTCAACTGTGAAAGTCTTGTTTATGCTGGGCAAATGCGCCTTCACCATACACACATTGCTTGCCGTTTCTAGAATAACCCTTCAAGGCCAGTCTGGGTCCACTACAGGTGGATAAGTTGTGATAGTACATCCAGCTGGTGTCACACTGCTAGGAAAACAGGTCAGGGACCAGCAAAGCACTCGACAACCTGGCTTAGTGCTCAGGCATTTGGTTAGAGGTCAGCCTGTGTCTGTCTGCACGGTCCTTCAATTTTGAAAACTACTGACTTGGGGAAGATAGTTTCTGTGCACTGAAAAATGTGATTATGTCTCTTGGAAATCCATAGACCTACAAATGTTTGAAGTTAACACAAACTTTTCTCCTTTGAACCCAGATGAAGTGGTTTTAAAATTTGAAAATGCTAAAAGCAGAGTTAAGAATACATTTTATGAAACACTGCCAGTGGTAATTAATGGAAACGGACCCACCAAAGTGAGTACCTGTGCCCTTAATTCATTGTCTATGTCTCAGGGTCAGACTGTGGAGCAACATGGGAGAGCCATCCTCTCTTTAAAAACAACTGGAAAACTTGAGTGTTAACAGTTTATTTACATTGTCTTTTCTGCAGGGTAGCGTCTGATTTAAAATAAACAGGATTTTCTCTTAGCAAGAGAATGACCTTTTATTCTATAGGTAGATACTTCACTTTAGTGTCTACTGTTCTAGGAACAGTAAAGGCCAGAGGGCTGGAGAGCAAGCCTTATTCCTCTAATTGCTCAGAGAGTCTAGAATAACCACCTGTGTTACACGTGAAAAGAAATAATTTCTTCAAATTTGATCTATAATAAAAACAATGACTTAATCCATGCCCCCAAATCAGTGCTTAGCCACTGTGACCTTGACTAATGGCTAGACAGGGGTGGGGGTAGGCTCTCTGTGAGTGCAGATGACACCATATTTGGAAGTGCTTTGAAGAGGACTCAGGAAAGTACTAGCACCCTGTGCCCAGAAGCCCAAGGCAGCCTCGCCCCCATAAGCCGCTTTCCACACCTTCCATGGTGGCCAGCAGAAACGTCTACAGTTGTTATGAGGAAAACAGATGCCCTGGTGTATGGGAATTGGGAGGGGATGAGTAATCTCTGCCATGGGATGACAAATACAAGGACATTTCCCATCAAAAGTACTGTTTCCCAATATCTTAATTACCCCTGATATAAAGGGCAGAAGGTGGAAAGTTACAAAAACAGACTTCAGTTCTGAAAAGTGAAAGCCACGCCCCTTGGTCCTTTACCCCTTAGGACTTGGCTATTTCCATATTCATACAGGGAATCTAGTAGACTAACTCATGGCATAAATATTACATTTTTATATTATTTCTAAGTGGGAAAGGTGTCAGTTCTGATATGTTGTGAGGATTTTTAATTTCAGGGACTTATACGTCCTTTTAAAAATTATTTTCAAGGATATTCTAATGAAGACTATGTATTTTTGTACTTTACATTTTTCATGTCCTTTCCAAGTAACATGTATTAAGGGGCACATTTTTATATAACTTTTATTTTAATGCTCACTTGTTATTTGACAATCAGAAGTACTTTCTGTGTCTGTTTTTATTGCGCATTGTAAATGCTACCATTGCTCCCTACCCCCTTTGAGAAGGTGCCGCTGTGTAGTCCTGGTTAGCGTGGCACCTACCTTGTGGACCAGGCTGACTTGGAATTCAAAGAGATCTGTCTGCTTCTCCTTCTGGAGTTCAAGGATTAAAGGTGTACCTGACCATGCCCAGCCATACTGACTCTTGAAATGTCATAATGACTGTCATGATCATATGGTTTCTGACTTCTGAGTTACCATGTCATCCAAAGCAAGTGCCCTGGTGACGCTTGTCCAGGTCTCAGGTTTGCAGAGGTTCAGTGTATCCACATCTATAGCATCTAGGCAGCACCAAGGCTTTCCTGTCCTAATGCCGAGCTTACTGATTTCAGCACCTTCAATGCAGTTGAAATACTTGGATAGACCTGGGGAAGGACTCTGGTAAAATGGCTGAATGAGAACCCTCATCTGTGCTGTACTTTAGGGGCTTAAGAAACTGCAAATACCTTGGAAGCACTTCTTTATGTGCTCTCACTGCTGTCTTAATATGTTTGACTCTTTCTTTTGACTGTCTTACTTTTGCCATGTTAAAACAAACAAACAAAAACATGATTAGCTGGCGGTGGTAACACAAGCCTTTAATCCCAGCACTTGAGGAGGCAGGGGCAGGTGGATCTCTCCAAGTTCCAGGGCAGCCTGGTCTACACAAGCGAGTTCCAGGATATCCAAGATTATACAGAGAAACCCTGTCTCAAAACAAAAACAAAAACAAACAAGCAAATAACATAATTATATAAGCATAATGAGGATTTGAGGTATGTTCTTACAATGCTAATGTTAATTTACAACGGACACTGTGTGGTATCAAAATTGCAAAACATGTAGTAACTTTGTTACATATACATCTGGAGAATGAATATCTTCTGCAGTGTCCCAATTTCAGAGAGTTTTGAGGTATTTTGAGGGCACAAAGGGAATCATAGTGTACTTGTTTCTTGTGCCTTCTTCCTTCTGTTACTGGCTACCCTTCAGAACATAAAATCAGTTTTTACAAAATGAAATGAATCCAGTAGATGCTTAGAAGAGAGGGTCTGGTCAAGGAGGAGGTACCCTGTCAGGTGGGTGAGCAGCTTACACTTTAGCTTCTCCTTGGTTTGTGGAGTGACTGTATTAATCCCTTGCTGTGTCTGTCCTCTGAGCAGTGCCCCAAAGCCTGGCTGACAGATGTGTCTCCAGAAATATCTTAATGTTCTTTGGTGATGAAGTGGCCTCACTCTTTGTTTTGTGTGAAGTGTTGGTGAGAGATCCCATTACCCCTTCCCCATTTACTGCACATGTCTGTGCTGGACATTTAAACACATGTATCTCATCGCTGCACACAGAACTCATGGTGGTTTGTCTAAATGTCTTGTTTGCTCCTTTAAAAGTTTGTTTGTTTGGTCTTTTTTTTTTTTTAACAATGGTAACTTCTAGTATTATTCCTTACATCATATTATATCAAATACTATGATCTGCTGCATCTTTTATAACAACTTGGACATTTCTAGAAATAGTTTGTAGCACTTAATGATTCATCATCTGAAGAAAGCTTTGTTTAACGTATATATGTTGGTGATACATGTTAGTGTGGCTAGGGGATTATACCAGGTACAGACAGAATTCTGTGCAGCTGTGTGATTATATAGTGAGAACTTGGTGGGTAAAGACTGCTTCTGTTCATCTGTTTTTCCTGCACTTATTAGATTCTCCTGAATTACTTTGGAAACTATGTCCCCAATTCATGGACACAGGAAAAAGGCTGCACTCTTTGTGACTTTGACACAATTGACTTGTCTACAGTAGATGTAAGTGGAATTCATTTGTATGAGCTTGTATCAAAAATCTACATTGTCATGAAATGTGACTCAGGAAAAAGGCAGATTGTTTTATAGTTTCCATTGTATATTTGGTAATGGCTTTATAATGTAAAAGTACAGTGACTTAGAATCTAGAAGCCTGTCTTTTGAATTGTTTTGAAAGCACTAAGAGCTGACAGTTGACCTCATTTGCCGTAAGGGTACTGAGCACCTACAGCCTGCCAGGGAAGTCAGAGCAGCACTGGTAAAAAGAAAGTCCCCAGACATGTGACTGTCGCCGCTGTGGAGTGGCAGCAGGGTCCCACAGCACAGAGCCCTGGAACTCCCTAAACAAATGCTTGATTTCTCCTCACTGCCTGAAGAGAGGATCAAAAGTAAATTGTCTACATTTGGTACCTTCTGAATAGAGCTCTATGTCACTTGAAAGTAAGGTTTTTTGGCCAGACTTTGAAGCAACAAACTAAATGTTTCCTATTTGGAAAGAGGGCCAGAGCAGTTCTGAATGAATCTGCACCATGGATATGTTTAAACGCTTGTCTTGATGTTTTTTGCAGAAAATGGTGTTGTCCTCTGGAAGGAGAATCAATTCCTTCTGTTTGGATTTTCCCTTCTAATTTAAACTTTCTGGTTCAAGGATAAAATGTTAGTGTTGAGGTTTTTATTCAGCATATAAATAATTTTTTTTGCATGTTAATAATTTGGTTTGCAACTGCGTTTGACTTAAAACTTATTAAAATGTTCTACAAAGGGAAAATGATTTATTCCTAAATATAATAAAAGTCTGTAGTTTTTAAAACATAGTGATCATGCAATCGTGACATAGAAATGAAATATTTGTAGGAGTTAAGATCCCAGTTATAGCATATGTTTAGATGTGGGTCATTGCAGTTTCTTACTGGGTAAAATTAAATTTTTATTCATTTATGCTATGTGTGTGCATGTGTTTGTGTACATGTTGGTGTGCACATTCTGTCTGCACGTGTGGAGGCCAGAGGACAGCTCATTAGAGTTGGTTTCCTTCTTTTACTACAGGAGTCCTGTGGGTCAGATAGTCAAGCTTGGGGCAAACACCTGACCACCTGAGTCGTCTTGCTGGCCCTCCACGTGTATATTTTAGATACATTTTTAATTTAATATTTAAATTAGTTTAATAAATATTTAACTCCCATTGTTACGATTTAAAAAAATTAAAACAGAGCCATGCAATGGCTCTATATTCCTACTCTGAGTTTTATCTTGCTTGTGTATAAATATGGGATGGTTAACTTCTAAGGCAATTAGGATATTTGAATTAAACACACAAGAGAAGATGATGGACTGCCATAGGTTAATGTGTATTACAGATGTTTTCATATAAAAGAATAAATGAAAGAAACTACACCTAATACATGCTGAAAGTGGATTTAAGAAAACATATAAAAATGTTTTCATTAAGATAATATATTAGTCAAAGTAGATTTTCTTATATAAAATAACATGCCAAAAAAAAGTAAAAGCAGCAAAGCCTGTTAATAAGATGAGATCATTCCTCTCCCTCTTCCCTCTTCCTCTCCATACCCCTCCTTTTCTTTTTTCCTTTCTTCCCGTCTCCTCTTTCTCCATGCCCAGAGATAGGTGGGCACTCTACCAGTAAGCAGCATCCCTGACTTAGAACTCTGATTTTTTTTTTTAATAGAATTTTTCAAAACAGCATTCGGCTTCTTTCAGAGGAGCCCTGAAGGAAGTGGATCACTTATGTAGGCTGTGTCCTATGTCACCCATATGGTGAATAGGATAATACCTTTCTTTAAGTTATAAGTTCATTTGGGAGGCATCCAGGCAGTGGGACCGGGTCCTGTGCTCATTGCATGAGTCGGCTGTTTGAAACCTGGGGCCTATGCAGGGTCGCTTGCCTCGGCCTGGGAGGAGGGGACTAGACCTGCCTGGACTGAGTCTACCAGGTTGATCTCAGTCTGCGGGGAAGGCTTTGCCCTGGAGGAGATGGGAATGGGGGGCGGGCTGGGGGAAAGGTGAGGGGGGGGCGGGAGGGGGGAGAACAAGGGAATCCGTGGCTGATATGTAGAACTGAATTGTATTGCAAAATAAAAAAAAATAAAATTAAAAAAAAAAGTTATAAGTCCAAGTCACAGGAACAAGAGGTAGTTCAGTGGAATCACTGTGACTGGCTTCCTAGATATTGACGTGCTGTGTTAGAGGACCGACAGTGGTTGGTGCGAGTCTAGTGAGTATGCGGACGGCAAAGTCTTGTGTTTCTTGGTTTTGTTTTGTTTTATTTTGTGGTTGTTTGTCCCCCCCCCCCCCCCCCCCCCCCCCCCCCCCCGTGGTACTGGTTAAGATTTGAATAGATTTTAAAATCATACTGATCATAATTTCCTTTTGTGTTTACTGTAAAACATAGGTCCATCCAAAAGTAACAATAGGTATTTTTATTGAACAACCAACCCCTTTTCTACCTCGATTCCTGGACTTATTGTTAACACTGGATTATCCCAAAGAAGCACTGAAACTCTTTATTCATAATAAAGTAAGTATTTCAGTCTTGAGTGTTGAATGTGAGAATTTTTTTGAAGCAACTCCTCCTGCCCCTAAAAACCAAGTGGAATATTTTACTTCTATTATGTGTGAAGAATTGAAAGTTTAATCTAATATTAGGCTGAGCCACATGAAATTGACAGTTTCTATAGATCAAAATGGCTGCATATCAGCCATGTTCACATAGCTTGTCAGCATAATTTATGAGGATGTGCAGAAGAGCCTGTGTTCCTTTGCATTGGGGTGACTTTGGGGCTTTCTTTTATAGACTGGCCATTGATGATTTTTGTAGCAATAATACCATAGCTTTAGAATGGACATGATTCCAGAACTCTGCTTCCATCCGTCTCAAAGTGGCATGCCTCTCACCAGAGAAACTCGATACTGTTATTTTTGCAAGACATTCAGATCCTCCCAGACATGTAATTTAAACATAGTCATTTCTGTCAATATTTGTTGTTATTTCTTTCTGTTGAAAGTTGGTTCTTACTCCATATAGAAAAAGTTGATAGCCCCGAAGCATGTTGTTTTCTACTTTGTGGTAATAGGTTTTTGTTTAACTATTATTTTTTTCGGGTGTCTTATAATCATTTTTTTCCAGAGACTACTTTAAAATTTCAGAAACCTACCTTTAGTAAGTTCAAAGAGTTTATATCAGACATTTGCTGTCCCCAAATAATCACAACATAGATACTTAACACAGACAGTTTTTATACTGTTATTGTGCTTTTTGTTGACCTTTTACTTGCTTTCAAATGGCCTTAAATTCCTTCACGTCAGTTTTTACCATTTTGTTCAAGGCTGTGTCATGCAGCCTTATGTGATAGCTGACCTTACCATGCTGTGACAGCACTTTTGAGAAGGCAGAGTGAGATAGGATGCATATAGAACGGCTCACACACGGCTGCTGGAGAGGGAATCCACTTGAACATCAATACAGCTGAGTCACGAGTCCTCCTTAATCAGTGATTTTACATTGCTTACTGTCTGTCAATATGAATTTGTTAAGTAGTCTCTTTTTGTCTAAAGACAGCTTTGTATGTGGTCATTAATTGCACTCTTTGGCTTCAAAGATTATTGTTTTATTTTTCATAGACTAATATCTGTTACATTTAATAAGCCTCTCTTCTGGATTTTTATGGCAAATATCTAAGATTCTTAGGCAGCAAGATTTTTTTCCCTTTCAGTTAGAATTATTTTTAATGACTAGGATTTAAGTATTATTGTGGGATTTGACCTATGAGCAGGCACTGAAATAACTTTGAAGCAACTTCTCCTTTTAGATATTGATATCAACCTATTTTATGTTTTTTGTGTGAATTTTCAAGTGATAGTTAAGTGCATTTTCTGTAATTCAGTAACTGAATTATGTAAGTTACACTTTGAGTGTGAAGCATTGTCTTTATGAACAATTCAGGTTGTCTGTTTCCTCTCTAATTTTTATATTTAAAATCTGTTACAGGAGGTTTATCATGAAAAGGACATCAAAGTATTTTTTGATAAAGCTAAGCATGAAATCAGTACTATAAAAATAGTAGGACCAGAAGAAAATCTAAGTCAAGCGGAAGCCAGGAACATGGGAATGTATGTCTGTATAATATATATTGAGTTGTTATTCTGGTAGATGAACTTTAAGAAAAAAAATCCCCCAAATTATTCTATTAAAGTTACAAGGCACCTCTTTGCATGTGTAGGCCAACCATGCAGACATAGGAGTCAGTTCTGGGTGGGTATACACAGGAGTGGCCATGGAAGTTACTTACATTTTTCTTTAAACCGAGTCAAAATATTTAATCACGTTATGAATTAACTTCAGATAAAGATTTAAACAAAACATAAATGAATATTATGACTAATAGTGAATGGCTTACATTTAAATTCATCATCCAGAGGCTGTGTAGTAAAGCTCCTTGGGGAATATGTGTGTTCCTGCTTAACATTGCTAATATTCTATACTCAGAGAGCTCCTTTTTTTCCCTTAATATTTCCAGTAGAGTGCTTGTAAAACTCTCCTCACTGAACAGTCGCATCTTAGTGAACACCAAGTTGATGCTCTGACTGCTTTTTGAGAGCTGCTTGTAAGAAGGCAAGGATGCTGTGCCTTCTTATCAGGAGACATTCTTGTCTGTTGTTGACTCTCACGCCTTGTACTGTGCAAGTCCAGCTCACAGCCAGGGTTTCTTCTTGGGAAGGACTTTAGAATAGTCAGAAATGCCCATATCCCTAACTCAATTCATTGGGCAATCCCTTGAATCCCCATTCGGGACTTACTCTCTCTGATGGTTTGAATAACTGTTGTAAGTTTTCCCATCAACTGTCCTGCTTGGTAGCTAGTTTGAAAAAATGTACTTGAGCAGAAAGTGGCCAGGGGGTCCAGCTGTGAGGCTGGAAAGATGAAGCAGCCCAGAGAATCCTAAATGCAGAAGCCTTAGCATGTGGAGGTTTTCATGGTATCATCGGTGGCTCAGTCCTTGGTTTCCTGTTGAAAACACTGCAGTCTCTCCTGGAAAAACATTTTCAGTGATCAGGCAGGACATAACTGTCTTAAAAAGCACTCTGTGCAATCAAGTGTAAAATGTTAATACTTAAGGAGCCTTTAACTTTATCTCTGTAATTCCTTTCAAACGAAGTTGTTGGTGTCTTAGCATGTATAAGGCTAGGATTAATCTCATCAACACACACACACACACACACACACACACACACACACACACACACACACGCACACGTGAGCACACGCATGCACGCACGCACGGAACCCCAACCCCCTAAAAATCTGAATTATTGGTGATAGAGTATTTCGCTTTGTGTATCGATCTGTTTGCATGTAAAAAGTAATATAAAATATAAATAAATTGGGGTAAGTTATTTTTTTTCTTTTAGAAAACCTAAGTTTCACAAATTCCCATTGTTACCCGATGTTCTGTATGTGTGGTGTATGTGTGCACCTATCATGTATGCAAAAGCCAGAGCAGGGCATCAGATGTCCTTATCTATCAATATCCACCTTTTCCCCTGAGATAGCATCTCTCACTTCCCTGGAGCCAGGCTGGAGGCCAGCTAGTCCTAGCCACCTCCTCTGTTTGAGTCCCTGAAGTACTGGGGTGACAGACCATGCTTGACTTTTTACATGGATCTGGGCCATACGTTCTTATCCTTGCACGGCAACCACTATTACATACTGATTCATCCCTGTGGCTCCTAAATGTTTTTATGCCTTAAAGTATTTAGTGACTTCAAATATATATCTCATTTGGCCTAAAATTGTAGTGATCTCTACCTACGGATATATGTGTAGATGAATTAGTCATTTTCAATATCAAGGCTGTTTTGATTGGAAAATACATCAGAATATTCCTACTTACGTTTGCTTTATGCTAATATTTCCAAGCAGGAAATTTTACCTAATACTTATTTTATTTTCCTTCTCAACATCAGGGATTTCTGCCGTCAGGATGAAAAGTGTGATTACTACTTCAGTGTGGATGCCGATGTTGTGTTGACAAACCCAAGAACTTTAAAACTTTTGATTGAACAAAACAGGTACTAAGATTTAACATGAATTCATTAGTAATATGATAATTTCCCACATCTGTGTGGGCCCACTGCCTGTGTAATCAATTGAGGTAGGTCACATTCAACTATCTACTACGCTTTGTAAGCTCCCAGGACTAAGTATTCCATTAGCAGTCTTAGAAATGAAAGCATTCAGTAATACTTACAGTCAGACTGTGGCTGTTAGTGGTATTTGGTCTATTTTTCTATTTAAAGCTAAGTTCAGTTATGTTATTGTTTCCAATACTAGTTAATTTTCATTTTTTTATCATCCGTAGATGTTTTCATAGATATTTCATTCATATTTTCACAGATAGGCCTTCATAAAACATCAGTTATTTCAGAGTTCTAGCTCTCGAATCAGACATTTCAGATATACTGATCATTTCACAGCCAGCTGTAATTGCATTTATTGTTGTACTGACTATAACTGAGCCCCTATTCTCACTGACTCACATTGAAATGGAATGAAGACATTATGGATATCTAGTTATAAGGCTCTTAATCCTGCTTGTTATACTACAGCTACTACTGATGCTGTTGCTATTCACTGCTCCTCATGGCTCGCATGTGCTGTTTGTCTACATTAACACAACTGTTTCTCAAAGTAAAGAGAAAATGTAGAAGCTAAAATGTTAGCATGACTTCACTATGCTAAGTAACATATATAGGAAGTTTGTAATGTTGCTCCAGGAGACACTGAGATTATAAATCTTAAGGGTTTTTTGTTTTTGTCTTAATTGTCAAAATACTTGATGTCAGTTATGGACATTGAACCATTATTCCCTGAATACCTGTAAAGCTAATTTATACCTTTATTTCTAGTGCTACAGTTATTCCACAATACAAATCCACGTGCTTCTGGCCAATGTTTGGTAAATGGCAAAGTTAAAAAAAATAACTTGGTGGGCATATATTTTTTAAGTTAATTTTTATGTGTATAAGTACTTGTCCTGCGTGTATGTCTGAGTACCACATGTGTGTGTGTGTCTGTTGCTTAGAGACTTGAAGAGGCTATCAGCTGACATATGGGTTGTGGGAACTGAACCTGGGTCCTCTGGATAAGGAGCCAGTGCTCTTAATTACCAAGCAATCTCTCTAGCCTTGATATATAATGTTTTATATATTTATCTTACGTTTATATATGTATAAGGAGGCCAGCTCCTCTTCACAAGTGTTGGGCATTTTGAAACAGGATTCTTTGTGGAAAATGTTCAGTCCATAAGCATTTTGGAAGAATCATAAGCTTTTGTTAAATTGTATGGTGCCACTGCAATATAAATGTAATTATGGAGGAACATCAGACTTTTTACTCATTTGGAAAAGATTGATATTATAATTTAAAGATTATAATTATATATAAAGATATAATTATAAAGATTGATTATATAATTTCCCAAGGGAAAGCCTGACATATTTCAAATTTGTACTGTGTCAGTATAAACAGGACCACTTTCCAAGCAGTTATTAAAACAGACTATTGTCACAGTCTCTTACTCTGTTTGCTATGGTTCTAAAAAAAAGCCACCAACTGGGTGAAGTATAAACAGAAGTTCATTTGACTCATAGACTTGGAGACTGGGTGGTTTGGCATTGCCTACAGGGCTGCTGCAGGGCTGCCTGGCTGCCTGGTAACCTTCTCAGCCATATTGTGAGGAGAGGAGGGACAAGATGAAACTGTAAGAGCGGGGAGCGAGGGAGGAAATGAGTCTCTGAACTTCTCTGAAGTTAAAACCGAGATGCATTGGTGACCTCTCAAAGTCCCGTCTCAGCACCATCAGGGTAGCAAGTCAATTTAAACTCTAGTTTCCTGAGGACTTTCAGTTCCAGACAAGCAGCTCTGTTTTGTTTTCTGAAGTAAAGGCTGACGTATCCATTGCTACCAGGCCAGCTTACAACTACAACCCAGTTTAAAAAGTCATAAAATACTGGAGACAGATGGTAAAGTGATTAAGATTTGTTTTAGGAACATTGCCTCTTCAGTGTCTCAGCCCATCTGCGTGTGTTGTTTTTCATTCAACAAATATTCACTGGCTACCTTAGTACTGTAGAGAGTGTTCAGTTTGAATTTAATTTAAATACAATGAAATAATTTAGTTTGACTCTCATAGGATGTAACTAATGAATTGTTAAAAAGTTATCTTAATATTTTGTTAATATTTTGAATAAATTTTCCCCTTTTGTTGCTCTTTTCATTTAGTATAATTGAAATTTTTTAATGTATTCATTGAAGAAAGATGTTAGGATTTTTTAAAATTTTGTGTAATATGTATATATATATATGTACATATATACATATATACATTTATATATACACATACACAAATAATATATTAAATGAACTTCACTGTGTTATGTGTCTTGCAAAATGTACACCTCTGATAATTTAAATATTAGTAATGATGTTGGTTTCCCTTCCTTAGGAAGATCATTGCTCCTCTTGTGACACGTCATGGAAAGTTGTGGTCCAACTTCTGGGGAGCACTGAGTCCTGATGGGTATTACGCTCGCTCTGAAGATTACGTGGATATCGTTCAGGGGAACAGAGTGTGAGTTACCTGATTTAATCTTTTCATGGACAGAACTGTAAAGACCTGCTCTTATTAATATTACTTGGTAATCATTTTTATCTCCCTTCATTTACTTAGTGTGAATTTGAGAGCTTGGAAATCACAATACTGAAATAGTTATATAAAAACAGTATATATACATATATATATGTATATATATATAAAAAATGTATTTTTTTAAGTTAAAAAGTATTCTTTATCATTAATGGGACAACCTCATTGCTGTGTGATACTTGGTTGCCATGGGTGCCCATCTAGTGGTAGAGAGGAGTAGAGCTCTTTCCTGAAAGTTGGGAAAGATAGTTTAATTTAGCTAATTCATTTAATAGCTCCAATGAAGTTGTCTTGATTGCCTTTAAAATTTACAAATACAGAAATACTAATACAGAAAACCAGAACTTCCAGCATTCCCAGTTGCATGCGGTGTTTTGTTGTTGTTGGTGTAGCTTTTAGTTTGTTTTCTCATCTCTGTGTGGAGTAGCGAGTTGTATACAGATAAAGATAGGAAATTTCACTGATAGTTGATTTCCATCTTTTAGATGTTAAAAAAATACATGTGCAATAAAGCATGTGTACAAATAATATTTACTTCCTAGATGATAGTTGATATTTTCTAAATAAAAAAAATCAATCAGTCAAATACCAAATGAATTCTGTTAAAGAAATACTAGGCAAGAATGTTGTTCTTTTTTCCAGATGTAAACTAGCACACTTTGTCTTAATTATCCAACTCACCTTCTCAGTTAAAAAGTGGAATGTACTGTGGCATCTAGAAAGAGGTACCCTGCCGGGCGGTGGTGACACATGCCTTTAGTCCCAGCACATGGGAGGCAGAGCCAGGCAGATCTCTGTGAGTTCGAGGCCAGCCTGGGCTACCAAGTGAGTTCCAGGAAAGGCGCAAAGCTACACAGAGAAACCCTGTCTCGAAAAAACCAAAAATAAATAAATAAATAAATAAATAAATAAATAAATAAATAAATAAATAAATAAGTAAGTAAGTAAGTAAGTAAGTAAGTAAATAAATAAATAAATAAGTAAGTAAATAAATAGAAAGAGGTACCCTTAGGTTAAATACCTTATACTTTTCTTGAAATGGTACATGGTGGGGGAGGGGGTGCTTTCCTTCTGAAAATAAGGATTGCCATAGGAGCTTTACATCTGAATGATGCAGCTATTGTAATAGTTTTGTTGTTGTTGTTAGCTGCTAGCATGGTAGGTAAGAAATTAGTATTAAGACAATTCTTTGTTATTTCAACTACTTTTATACACTCTAAAGTGACTTAGATAGGCCATATATGTGATATTTTCCATGGGTTGGTTGGAAATGAAGGTTGTCAAATACAGAGCAGTGCATTCACATTTATTGTAGTAAGACATTGTTGTTTTGTACACAGTGATTTCCTGCCTGACTTATCTACAGAATAAAGAGGATGGTAGAGACCTCAGTCAGTTAGTCAGCCAGAGGAGAGAGTGACAGCTGATGCCATGTGTGTGAGCACCTGCATTTGTACCCTTGGAAAGAAGCATCATGTATTCCATCATGATTAATGTTTGAATTTACCTGACAAATTATGTAGGTCTAAAGGCCTTTTGATTTTTGATATTTTCTCATCTAAGTAAGACAAAATGATGTCCTTCTACATTTCCTTGGTCGAGATTTTCCCTTTCTGTTTTCTAAAGTGACAGACACAGGCCTCCAGGTTGGTATCTCCCAGATAGAAGAAGTCCTCTCAGAATGGGAGTGGGAAAGATGAAGAAAGAAGAACTGTCTGTCAACACCTACACTTCAGCTGTATTTCCTCACCACTTCCCCTTTCTCCACACAGGTTGAACATAGTTCAGTGAATTTCATGGGAATATAACTTTTCTTTATTACTTATTTTTTTTCATTTTTTGTGTGGTTGGAGGAATCCCCTCACTTGTAGTGTTTATAAAGTTCTATAGTATAAATACTTCTCTGGTTGATTTGAGTTTCTAATGCAGTTAGGCACTGGTGTCTACTCTAGGGAGCTATGCCAGGGAGGGCCAGAGCACCTCTGGATCATTGTCGTTGCTTTTGCTATCAGTGGTTTATGATTAGACAGAAAAGCCTCTGTACAGTAGACTACCATGACCTAACTGTAGCAGCGGTGGCAGGAGAGCCCCCCAGCTAGATACAGCCTAAATGAAAGTGTCAAAAGATAACTTCTCCTAACCCTCACTAGGATGTATATATGCCAGAACATTTCACATTCGTCAAATAACATATGTTTTATGATGGAATAATTTATATATATATATATAAATAAATAAAATCTTAAACATACATAAAGCATTTATTTTAAAATGTAAGCATGAAGCACATTGTTTGTATGTATGGTATTTTTGGAATATATCTTTTACTTTCAGAGGAATTTGGAATGTCCCATACATGGCTAATGTATACTTAATTCAAGGAAAGACACTTCGATCAGAGATGAGTGAAAGGAACTATTTTGTCCGTGATAAATTGGATCCTGATATGGCTCTTTGCCGAAATGCTAGAGAAATGGTAAGCTGCGGCTTGCTTGAACATTCGACACGATGGCTTGCTTTTCCAGTCCATGTGTTACTGTATTTGGATGCCTTTTTCGTCCTTATTTGTAAATACTAGCCAATTTTTTTGGTTCTATATTTTTTGGAGAATAATTTGTGAACATTTGTAGCATAGTTTTTAAATGTTAGCATAGGCCTGACTTACAAGCCACATAAGATTTTAATAAAGACAGAATTAAGAATAAGCTTTGTTCTTTTAAGAATATATCTTTACTCAGATCTGGAATTCTGTACTAAGAAATTGAGTTTAGTTAATGTTAGTTTGAATGAAATGTTCTTTACACATTTAGTAAGCATATAATTGTGAAATCAGTGACTGTGTTTTTTCTAAGTGTACCCTATAATATTATTGATGGTACACTCTTACAAGGCAGGCTCCATAAACTAGGGAAATAGTATATTTAATCTGTATGAAAAACTGATGATACATTAGTGTTTTAGAAATGTACTTTTATAATAAAACATAAATGCTTATAGAAAATAATTTTTCAAAATACACAAAATATGTTTTAATTCAGAAAACATATTTGTAAGATTTTCTGTTTCAGATATTATGTTATTTCTCAATTTATATGAGCAGTCATAGCCTTAGGAATATCAGAAAAGTTGGCAAGTATTTTTTCTTAGTTTAACAAGGCATGTGTTGTTCCATTGTGTTTATTGCCTGTGTACTGCCTGTGTACCTGTGCATCCTCTCTGAACACCCTCAGTACCTATGGTTGTATTTGTGCTCATGTTTGGCTGACTTCACTCAACAGCGCATCCGGAATGGCCTCTGTTACTCATTTTTTCCCTTTGTCTTAGCGATGTACCTAATGAAGTTTTGCTAAGGAATGAGCTTGAACCTGTGTTTCACCAAACAAGTTACAGTAAAACAGTGGGAAGGCTGGAAGTTCTTTGTGTGCGCTGCAAGCTTTGCCTGTTTTGCATGTTGTCTAGGGAGGACATTTCACAATGTCAGCTTTTTATCAGAGCCGCTGTGTTCATTTACCACGATGCCTGGCAAATAGGTGTGCAGATCAACTGACCCACTGCTTCTCTTCATTTTAGACCTTACAAAGGGAAAAAGACTCCCCTACTCCGGAAACATTCCAAATGCTCAGCCCCCCAAAGGTGTCATTTTTATTTTTATTCATTTTTCTTTATGTAATTATGTTAGATGTGCTGTGTTGAGTGGCAGTTAAGTATCCTTAAGAGCCGCCTTTGCATTGATGGATAAAATGTTGGTACTCATGGGCTCCTTATCTGTCCGTATGTGTGCTGTGGGATTTTGCAGGAGTGTTGCTTGATGGTCAGCTCTTGGGTCATTGAAGTTATTTACATTTTATAATTAGCAGGTGAGAGAAATAACCTCAGATACTTTTACTCAATGTTGTAGGGTTTTGGGGTGCTGAGGAGAGGAGAAGGAAGTAGGTATAAAGTCCACCTCCATTAGAGATGAGGTTTTGGCACTTTCTGATGTGTTTGCTTGCCACTGATCTTTTCACCAACAAGAACAGGTACAAAGAGACATCCTTGGTATCTGCCACATTTGTTTGGTTTAGGGAAGAACAAGAGACTTCCCTCTTAACTGCCTTAAGATGCCTAGAGAATTGTGCTGGGTCTGAAACAATACAACAGAGGAATACAAAGCACCGAGGAAGTCCTTCTGATATCTTGAGTTCTCATAAAATACACATTTCTTTGAAAGGAAAAGAAGCCGAAAAGAAGATGCATGTCATTGCCCGTGCATGTCTGAAAAATCTTTTTGCTTTCAAACAGGGTTTTTGTTCCTGTCTGTCTCTAGGGTCTTTAAGAAAGTGACAAAGCAGCCCACTTCCCCCTCTTCTCAGTTGACCATAAGTGCTGTTAGTTTGGTGTGTTTTCTGAGTTTCTAATGATTTTTATTTATTTTAAACAATACACATGTTTTATGAAAAATTAAAATGCATATTTATGAATTAAATATAAAAGTTAATGCATTCTCTATATTTTTTCCATGATTAAATGTCCTGTACTTTGAGAGTAATACTGCTGTTTTTGGTACATAGGGTATGTTTATGTACATTTCTAACAGACATGAATTTGGACGGCTATTGTCAACTGCAAATTACAATACCTCCCATTTCAACAATGACCTCTGGCAGATTTTTGAAAACCCTGTGGTATGTTCATGTTCAATTCCCTTTGTTTATCTTCCTGTCGCTCTAAGTGAATATAAATCGAGTAATAACATTAGCACATAAATGTTTCTAAATGAGTACAAATAATTATATTTCATGATGTGCAATAGTTCTAAACTTGATCAAGAACTTTTTAAATTTAAGACACACATTACCTTAAAGAACAGGAAAAATCAGTTTCTTTGCTTTCTCCCAAAATTCCTACTTTCTATATTCAAAAGTACCATCTAGTTCTTAACCATAGTTTTAGAAGAAAAAAAAAATCACATACATATCTTCAAAAGGGGGGAAAAAAGACCTCAGTTGCTAAAGATATGGTTTGGGCATAAAAATCTCCCTGCATGCAAAATGCATTAGGTTCATCCCCAGCTGCCCCCACCCTCAACCCTCACATACACAAGATACATCGAGAAGTTAGTTTGGAAAAATACCCATTGTTTTTCGACTTACTAAAGTGTTGATGATGATTTTGTAAATCTATACTGAAGATAGCCAAAGCACAATGCAGAGTAAAGCTTTCTCCTGTATAAATAAACATGTTCTTAAGCTGAAGAAATTTGAGTCAGGTGGTAATAGCTCTTGGATTTGAATTATTGGGACCCTTTTCTGCAGTATGGTGGCACATTTATCCCTTGAGAAAGCTTTCTTGAGTAGTTGTTTTGGTTGCCTTCTTAAGATCTCTTCCCCTTGCCAACAGTGAGTTTTGAATTATAAAGAAGCAGGACACCTGATGAGAGTAGTCTTTGATTTTACAGAAATAACAGGATCCCAGAAAAAGAGCGACTTTGAATACAGAATCCTCTGTTGATAGAAAAAGAATAGTGCGCTTTTTTTTTTTTGGCATATTAGTATTTTAAAATACTTTGTCCTATTTTACCTGCATATTTCCATCTTTAATAAAGGAAAACTGGAAATGGTTTTCTTTTTTATGGAGATGGTAGAATCTACACATTTAACTTGGGTTTTGAATTTTTGAATGTTCTGAGGGGTAGAGTTACTTGGTTATCAGCTTCCAGGTGAGCTCTTAGATCGTATCCTGCACTGTATATATTCCTGTAGGAACTCAGCTCTGTTGACAGGTTACAGGGAAAGTACTGAGCTAAATAGGCTCTGTTTACCTTCCATGGCTGTGGTCATTCTTTCAGAGTTACTTTAGTCTGAAGATGTTCTGTGGCAGAATACTTAGTGATTTCCCCATTTTCAGAGTTTTTAAAAGATAAATGAGATCATAATTGATTCAATGACTAGAAAGATGTTTTCAAATAAAGAGTTAGTGTTAGTGCCCAATATAAAACATTAGGGACTTTAACATCAACAAATTTAAAAAGATGACCCAGCCTAACCAGAGTGTGAGGGTTATACCTAAGCAGGGAGCTTTTCTACCCTTAACACTCTGAGATACATTCCCAGCTCTGTTTTTTTATGTTTAAACACCACATGTTTAATTTTGCTTGTATATATTCTTAAATATTGCATATAAATCTATACATTATAATATTCAATTTTAATAACCTGAGACATCAAACTTTATAGATAAAAGGCTTTCTTTAAAGATTGAAATATAAGCTGGCTTCTGAAAATTACTATTTTGTCCAATACGCAGCTCTTTATAAGTTATTTGAATGATTTCTATAACGTATATACTTATTTATGGGAAAGTTATTTGTTTAATGTGCTTTTTTTTTAGGACTGGAAGGAAAAATATATAAACCGTGATTATCCAAAGATTTTCACTGAAAATATAGTTGAGCAGGTTTGTACTAATAATTGTAATGTGTAGAGTGGTTTTCCTATAATTTCAACAAAATCTGATTTTACTACATTAGCAGGAATTTTGAATATGGAAAAATTGTTGTTTAGGTACAATTCATGAGGTTTACTTACAGCTTTTACGTTTTTAATGGAGCCTAGCCTTAAAAGCTCACTCTTGGAAAACATAGACATGCAGCTAAGTACTGGTGTTCCCTCAAGCCTCAGGAGTTGGGGGACTGTTGATAGAAAGTGGTACAGTTGAAACTTATCTCTGGAAAACACTGGATTCTCTTTCTTAAACAGTCTTTACGTAGAAAGACTGTTTAATAAAAAATGCACTATATTTCAGTGTTCAAAACTGTCACTCAGATTCAATTTTGAGAAGGACCTTTCATTGCGTCTGTGATACACCATTGCTTTATGTACCAAGAGGAAGAAAAATACACTATCAGTTAACTGTGATAAAATGATTTTCTAGTGAAGATTTTAATATATGTGTGTGCATATATATATAATATATATATGTATATATTATATATATAGAAGAGAGAGAGAGAGAGTGCACTATTACTGATATTGCTCTGTCTTCTAATGGTGGCACTGTATTACAGCCTTGTCCAGATGTCTTTTGGTTTCCCATATTTTCTGAAAGAGCCTGTGATGAGTTGGTCGAAGAAATGGAGCATTATGGCCAGTGGTCTGGGGGAAAGCATCATGTGAGTTGCAACTTTACAGAAAGGAGTAAAATGGGGAGGGGTGGGGCGGATATTCAGAGATTTCAGAGGACACGTGCCTCTTTTTTGTTGTTGTTGTTGTTACATATCTCAGACTGTGATCTAAATGAATTGTTCATCAAGAAAGCTTTAGTCTAATTTCACTGGTTGCTAATTGTTTTAAATTCCTCTGTACCTGGGTTCCTTTCTCATTTATGAGAGTAATTGCACTATTTGGCCATGAGGGGTCAGTGCCCCTGGACTAGATAGAATTGATTCGGAAGCACAGGCTTCACTGATCACCGTTCTTTTCCAAGGACAGTTTTCATTCCCTGCGCTCGTTTTCCTGGTGCACCGTAGTGAAAATGCTAGGAAAACATCCAATGTCGGCATGGTTTTGTGTGTGTGTGTAAGATGGTACTGTGAAATCTGTAATCCTGCTTTTTATTTACATCCGGTTAGGAAACTTGGCAGGCAGTCACACCAGCATTGATCCCATGTGTCTCTTTAAGAAGCCACAGGGACAGACAGCCCTAACCTTACTGCTCCTCAACCTTGCAGTGGAGTTGTGGAGGGATATTTTGACTCTTCTGCATTTGCCTCACTTGGCTCACAGCTGTGAAGCTGGCCAGGAGGAGGTGCTTTCAAAATATGAGGAAGAACTCATAAGTCTAGAGGTGGCGGTGTGCTGGTAAATAATTGTTGAAAGACTTGGATTTCACCAAATTAAAGCAAGGTTTGCAGGGCCTCTGATTCAAAGAGCACATCAGTGGAATCTACCCTGATGGTGATTATAAAACATTAATTTCGCCGGGCGGTGGTGGCGCACGCCTTTAATCCCAGCACTTGGGAGGCAGAGGCAGGTGGATCTTTGTGAGTTCAAGGCCAGCCTGGTCTAGATGAGCGAGATCCAGGAAAGGCGCAAAGCTGCACAGAGAAACCTTGTCTCGAAAAACCTAAAAAAAAAAAAAAAACAAAAAAACATTAATTTCAGGGGTGTGTGTGAGGATTTAGGGAGTCCATTTTATCAACTTTATAGTGATATTAAAACTCATATTTACAATAAGTAGCTAAATGTTTTCTAACTGAAGCTCATTTCACCATTGATACATGTCATGTGCAAAGTTCTGTTATCTAAATGGTCTTGATCTTTTAACTAAAACAGATGGCACACCATAATCAAACAACTGTTTATTTTATTATGCATTATGATTCTTAATTGAAAAAAATACCCAGATAATATCAATATAAATTGTCTTGATGTATTAATGTGTATTTGTAGGATAGCCGTATATCTGGTGGTTATGAAAATGTCCCAACTGATGATATTCATATGAAGCAAATTGATCTAGAGAATGTTTGGCTTCACTTTATCCGCGAGTTCATTGCTCCAGTTACGCTGAAGGTCTTTGCAGGCTATTACACAAAGGTAGTTGTCCTGTTCCTCCTGCCTACAACCTACCAGTTCCCACACGAATATGCTCTTCTGCCTTTGCATTGTTAACAGTTCTACTGTGTTGCTTTCCTAGGGATTTGCACTGCTGAATTTTGTAGTAAAGTACTCACCTGAAAGACAGCGTTCACTTCGTCCCCATCATGATGCCTCAACATTTACCATCAACATTGCTCTCAATAACGTAGGAGAGGATTTTCAGGTAATTATGACAAACATATTGAAAATTTCCTGGAACTATGCATTATGGGGAAGGCTCTGCTGAAATTTGTTTTTCATTTGCTATTTAGATGGCATGGTTTAAATATTGCTACTTATTAAAAATGAGAACTATTACATTGACATATTTATGTTTATCTTTTTCAGGGAGGTGGATGCAAATTTCTAAGGTATAATTGCTCCATTGAATCCCCACGGAAAGGCTGGAGCTTCATGCATCCTGGGAGACTTACACATTTGCATGAAGGACTTCCTGTTAAAAATGGAACAAGATACATTGCAGTGTCATTTATAGATCCCTGAGTTATTTATACTACTCAGACTGAATTGTTCTTTGAGATGACTGGCACGAACATGTCTTTGAAGTTGTGCTTGAGAAGATGAGAGGAATATTTAAATAATGTCAACAGAACAGCTTCACTTTGGGCCAAACATTTGAAAACTTTTTATATGAAATTGTTTGATGTTTCTTAATGTCTGCTCTGAGCCTTAAAACACAGGTTGAAGAAGAAAGGAAAAAAAGTGAAAGTTGGTATTTATTTCTATGCTTTAACTGTCTCTGAAGGTAATGACAAATTATAAAATGTTGAGGTACAAAGGCATGAATGATAATAAGCCTAGTAATATTTTCTTATTTAAGAAAAACCTGAGATTTTATTTATCATTGTGAAGAAGTATAGAATGTCGTTATAAATGAAAATCAGCAAGTCTGGAAACCTGGAATGATGGCGATTACTGAATTTACATGTAACTATTAAGCCATGTCGACCTCTGTGTAGGTCTGTTTCTCGGTAATTAGGAAGAAAATCCAAAGAAAATATTGCACTAGGTTTCCTCACGAAACCTAGTGCAGCCCGCCAATGGGAGCATATCCATTGGAAGTACGCCTAGCACGTGAGGCGGCTCTTGCTTTCGATTGGACAGTGGACCCCTGCGTTCCTCCAGGGCAAGCTCTCAGGGGAAGCTCACATCTTTCCGCTTTGCAAAGTGCTTAACTCCAAGTGTCCTTATGTCAAGCAGGAAGTTTGTTTCCTTCTGTTCTTTCTCCCCAGCTAATTCTAGAAACTAGTGAGGACACAGAACAGTTTCATTGAGATTAGTAGTACATTTTACAGTGTTTTTAAAAACTTCTTAACTACTTGAATTTTATATCAGGAAAATGGGTTTTGAGCCTTGTTTCTTCCCTTTTACTCCGAGTTGTTCTCTCTCCCCCCCCCCCCCCCCGGGGGGGGGGGTTCCTTGCTTTACTTCATAATTTTATCATTCCTTAGTTGTTTTATTGCTTTTCCTCTACCCCACATTTTAAAAATCTCCACAGCCAAAATTTTTATTTCAGTTTTCAATATTTCTCTGAAAGCGGTTTAAATATCTTTATTATAGCTACTGTTTTTAATTTAAAGGTTAAACTTGAAGAAAGTTCTTATTCCCGGTGCCAAAATTCATTTTTCTAACTCTCTGTGTTAGAAAATGATGAAAAATAAAATAATTTAAAATAAACATAGTGCTTTTCTGTATTATTTATTGATGGTTCTTTAGAAGAGAATATATTGTAAACTAGTCTGGGAGCATATCTGGATATAATAGCTGTAATTATTTCATTTAGCTTGACAGTTTAGTATTATAGCAAAATTACTATCTAAATTTTAAATTCAGTTACACATCTGAACTCTTACAGTGACCAGGGAGTTGATATTACTCATTTTTACAGGAGTGGAAATGACAGCCACACGTTTGATCAACATACATATTTGTCTCGTGGTAGTTTCGGGTCTATGATGATCCAGGCTCTGTCCCAGGCAATGAGTCCATAGTGATTCAGCTGTAGTCATCACTAGGAGATTGATTTGGGAAGGATCTCATGGTGCCATTTCCTCAACTGAGGCTCCTTCCTCTCTGATGACTCCAGGTTGTGTCAAGTTGACACATAAAACTAGCCAGTACACCAGCTATATTAAAAAACAGTTCCATCTCTCTGTGCCTCTGTCTGTCTGTCTGTCTCTCTCTCTCTGTCTCTCTGTGTGTGGGGGGGGGGGGGTTGTAAAATATTCAAGAGAGGAGCATAATGGCGTGAGATCTTGGAAGAGTAAATGGATTTTGTGCTTTTTTGTTGTTACCTCGTTACTGAAGACTTACTATGTAAATACATTTAGGAGCAGGAATATCATTTATGTGTGTGTGACAAGACGGCTTTCAAAGCCTCCTTTTGTTACCTTTTCCCATCTTTTGTTTTCTTCTTTGTTCCTGCTTTCTTCCTTTCCTCCTTTTTGAAGCCAGAACCTCTCACTTGCATTCATCTTACACTTCTAACCTTTTGTTTGCTAACTGTTGATGCATATAAGAATCAGTATGAATATTGTCCACCAGAACACAGTCTTTGAATTCCGTTCTGCTTTACCTTTGAAAATCGCTAATTTCTATTGGTGATTTTATAGAGTAAAAATATGCAAAAACCATACATATATGTATTAAGTGGGGGGCCTCCTAGTGACAAAAGGGGTCCACCTTCCGGCTTTCCTATCTGGGTATACCTGGTTAATTCGCCTGTTTGCTAAGCACTAGAGTGCATCTTATGTGTTAGTGTTTGGACATGGTATTCATTGGGAATGTGGAACCTGTTTGCACAACGGATCTCTTTAAATTGCAGACAAATTTAATAGAATTTAAAATTGCTGTTCACAGAGGAGAGTCGGTCTGTGTAAATAACTTCCTTTCACTAGGTGCAGTTTTAGAAAATTAAATTATTTAAGACACCATAAAAGAAGGCTTGTCAGCACTGTTTTCCTGTGGCCTTTTAGAAAACAAATAAAGACTTTCGGATTGCTAGTAAGAAAAAGACATTGAAGAAAAAAAATGGGAAATCCAGAAAGGCATTTTGTGTATGTGTGCGTTTATAGAAGAAACAGGCTTTGAATTCAATTTTAAAAAGTAGTAAAGAAAGTAGAAAAGTACATGGAAGCATACTATTAAAATGCAAATTGAGGCCGGACATGGTGGCACACACCTTTAATCCCAGCACTCAGGAGGCAGAGGCAGAGGCAGGTAGATCTCTGAGTTCAAGGCCAGCCTAGTCTACAGAGCTAGTTCCAGGATAACCAAGGCTACACAGAGAAATACCTCAAAACAAACAAACAAACAAACCCCCAAAAATCCAAGCTGAGCTGTGGACTGGATTTGGAGCCCTGTGGAAGGGCTCTTGCCTCATGAGAGCTTCCATTCAGTTGTGAGAGTGGTTTTCTTGCTAACAAGTTTATGATGTTCACATTTGTTCACTTATTATATTAAGAAACCAATTAGCATGTTCTGTTTTCACTGAAAAATACATGATGATTTTTGAATATTGATATTGTAACTTAGGAGTTTCTGCCTCTATTATGGTTAAAAAACAAACAAACAAAAACAAGTCATTAATTTAAAATTAAAATAGCATGCCATAAAGAGAGGTTACTACCCTGAAACCTCCTCATTCGAAAGTAGGTGTTACTTTGTCACTTAGAATTAAGGTGTGGAGAAGATTTCCTATAGATAATGTGGTTGATAATAAACTGCTCTGTGCATAATAACTTTAAAGTAATTTTTAAAGATGTTGTTCAGTGAACATCCAGACTGACTCGGATCTCTTAGAAGAGCAAAGGGAATCAAATCACATGGTGGTTGTATCTGGCAGAACTCAGTAACAGCCCAAGCAGCACTGGGCAAATGGAAGCATATTTCCTACCGAGCACCAGCGGTGCATAATTGATTAACTGGAAATATTGTGTAGTTGCCAAATTAAGTTAGCCTCGTACATTGTGTTTTATTAAAATATGTCCATGTGTTATAAATATTTCCAAACTGTGACGTCACAGCTCCACCTTGTGGTTAAAATCCACACATGATAGTCTAATCTGAGCAGGATGCAAAAACTTTCATTTTCTTTTAGTTGTTGCTGAGTATTTTTTTTCCTTTCAAAGCTAGTACAAATGAAAATGACAGAGATGATTGTTTTTCACAGTTCTTTTGAGAATGTTTTGTTGTGATATATGTCAGTGTTTTCAAAGGAGGAATCGCAACATCTTATTCTCAAAGAATAGGCATGCTTCCAGTGATGAAATGCTCTGTTCTCAATTCTTGACTACTTTGTAGGCTTCTCATCTGTGTTCAGTTGGGATTGCTAGCCTGTGTGATTAATAAAATGTGTGTAGAAAAGGTCAGATACAGGAACAATTGGTAAGCATTGGAATACTCAGGTAACATCTGGACTACCACAGGAACAGGTTCGTAGGACTCTATTGTACAAAGGAACATTCTTTGAATTGCTGTGTATGCAAAAGAAATAAATACTAATTGTGAGTGATCACCAAAAGGCTGATGGTTGTAAAATTAAGGACCAGATTACAGCGGTTAAGAAAATAAAAACTAGGTAACTGAAACTCTGAAAGTTACAATGTCTATGTTTCTGACATTAACGATGCTCTTGCTGGTGTAAATGGAGGGAGGTTGGCCAAGTGGTTCACAGCTATGCCTGCTTTGTGTCGTCACACCTTCACCTCCACCCTTTCCTTGTGCCTTGGCTGTTGAACTGAAGCAAAGGGCCCCAGCGTAGTCTAGGGTGACAGATCTCAAGGACAAGGAATGGGAAGTATTGGATGCTTGTGGCAGTGAGCCTGCAGAGCTAGTCCTGGATGGGCAGTGACATGAGCTCTTGTGAAGTTACTGTCCTCCACATCAAGTCAGTGTGGGCACTCTAGAAGGAAAGGAATCCATCCAGAAGTGGTAGCTAGCTAGCCTAGCTTCCAAGTGAAATTGCAGAAGAACTTATGGCTTCTGTTCTTTGGAGAGTGACTTGCAGGGAAATCTCTCCAGACTCCAGGTGCTGTGTTCTTTAAAAGCTCTGCCAACAAAGCTGAGCACCTACTTCAAGCCAAGTCAGACATTAAGAGGCAAGGCCCAGTCACTCAGCTTCCATGAGAAGCAGACTAATGTCCCACTACCAGTGCTTCTCTGAGCACCTGATCGTGTTTTCCTCTCAAGGCCCTGAATGTCCCCAAGGCAGAAATGAAGGCTCCTCTTTCGACAGCCTTTCCATTTCTGGAGCCTCTCGTGCATTCTGGCAACCCAGTCTGGAACCTTCTGAATGCTTGACTGTGATTGGGAGATGCTTTTATTTCGGGAATTTTATTGTGTTTGAACCAGTATTTGCTAGGGGACTGGGTGGGGAAAGAGGCTTTGAACTTTACAGGTCAACACTTTTGAAAAGCATGGATTTTTGCCTGTGTATGAGATGAAGGTACACAGTCTGTCCCTGAGTAGAGAGAGTACATACAGTCCAAGCTGGAAAGAGTGATTCATTAAGACTGTAAGAAGAACTTACTGTCTCTGCTATCCTCATTATTTACTCAGTTTATGAATAACCTGCTCACTGGTGGCATGTGGTGGGCTTCCAAGCCATTTTAAATCAAGTGAATTGGTGTTACATATCTTAAAATAGTGTATTTATATGTGCTACAAAAAGTGCTATGTCTATAAACTACCTAAAATGTGCTCGTTTAATCCTCCAACTCTGAAGAAAAAAATAGTTCTAAAATAGCAACTGGTGAAGAGAGTGGATTCATATGTGGAGGAAGAGAGTGGCCTTGAGGTGTTTACTGGAAGCACATGGTTACCCTGGTTACTGATGGCCTTGCTCAGCGTGCTTGGCTGGCTAGTTGGACCAAACATCATTTCAATGTCTTTTCAGATTGGTCTGAGAAATGGGACAAATATTATTTAGGAAAGTTAAAACTAGAGTAATGTCTAAAGAAAAAAAAAGGCTAGAATTTAGAGATTCTCTTGGCTGAAAGGTAGATAATAGTGTATTTTACACTATTACTATTATTAATTACCCAAACTTGGAAAATAGTATTCTCTTTTTGTGAAAGTATAGAGAAGTTATTTTTAACTTTAAAATTGCTGTAAATGAGTTGATCACGTGTAAACTTACAGTGAATTAAAGGGTAAAGTAGTGATGAAGATGGTAGGCAGGTTTCAGAAGGAATAATATGATTATTCACTTATTTTTATTTTCTAATTTGGTTCCTTTGAGATGGGGTCTCTCTATGTAGTCCTGACTGCCCTGCAACTTGTTCTGTAGATCCGGCTAGCCTTGAACTCACAGAGAGCCACCTGCTTCTGCCTTCCCAATGCTGGGAATAAAGCTGTGTAGCACCATGCCTAGGGACTATTCTGATTTTTATTATGCAGCAGATGTGGGTAAACGACATGAACTCGTAGGTAGTTCGTTGCTGGTTAAATAGCCTTCCTCTTCTAATTTGGAACAATTGTCTTAGCAAACATAGTGTTTGCAATACATTTCAGACAGTTCCATCCTCCAACAGACCATTTTGTTCAGTCCAGTGCGAAATTACTGTGGTCTAAAATGAGGACACAGCTAACGTCAAAATGTGTACTTGTCTCTGTACATAAGCTACATTTAAACTATACTTGTCCCTCAGATGCTGTGGGCCTGGGTGGTGGGTGATGGTTGACGTGTCTGATCATTACAGGTGCTCACTGAATACACATGTGCTTCCAGATTCCCTGCCTGCTCACGGGTGGGATCATGTGGCTCCGTGGATCACTCCCCAACACAAGCACTTAGCATCCATTTGGGACACCCTGTAAGGGATGTACGCTGAGAGGCCTGATCTTAGAGTCACTCTTAGAAGTGAGGACATTTGAGAGCTGCAAGACCCAGCACATTTGCATGAGGAATAAAGTTGATTACTTTAGTGAAGTAACAGACTTTACAGTTTGCCAATCGGTTTATTTCCATATAACTGATGGTTTGAAGGAGATACCCCCATATTCTCTGGCATTTGAATAATTCGTCTGCAGTAGGTGATACTGTCAGGGGAAGCTTAGAAGGTATGGCCATGCTGTGTAAAATGTGTCACTAGGTTGCAGGCTTGGAGGGTTCGAAGCCTCCCACCATCCCCAGTTCTCTGCTTGCTGCTCTCAGTTCCATATGTGAGCTCTCAGCTGTTCCTGCCCCCTTGTCTCCCTGCTACCATGCTTCACCACTCTGATGGTGGTGGACCCTTAGCCCTCTCGAACTCTAATTCCTAACTAAACCTTTCTCTCTGTAAGTTGCCATGGTCATAATGTTTTATCACAGGTAACAACAGTCAACGGGAAGAGAAAAAGATATCAATGTCTAGTCACTGACTTACCAACTTAGGTTTTTTTTTTCTTTCTTTCTTTTTTTTTTAAACCTTTGGTGATTCAAAAGCAATGCACTTGCAGTATAGACTGAACTTCAAATTTTGAATTTCTATGTTTTCTCAGATTATTAGTGCACACAGTACTGTCTCTGTGTTGCGGTGTCAGCGTGCTGGACTTCCCAGGAAGCCTGGGCTCAGGGTTCTGGTGCCCTGCACTGCTACGTCAGGATGTCAGCCTCGTCCTAAGTGTACTTTCAACTTAAGCATTTTGAATTTATTATGTGTGTGGGGATATAACTCCCCTTTATTCAAGATACATCTGGGTTTAGTATATGTTGAGTTTCCAATAATAAGATAGTAGCATCATCTGAAGACTTAGTGATTTAATTTGTGTATTCTGAGAAGATGGTGGTTGGTCCACAAGGCTATGCAGTTCAAGCTCTGTGAACTGTTGAAATCTGACATGTAAGTTCTACTAAGAATATGTTTGTATATCTGGGAACAATATGAAAGAGTATACATACACATGCATACCAACAAAGTTTAAAATATTTTAATATTTGTCATAATATTAGCACTCTGATTAAAATGCTTTACAGAATATAAATCTAGCTTGGACTGAATTTTCTGAACAGGTCTGTACATTGGAGATGTGACTTGCTCATATTTAGGTGACATGAGCCAGGGAAAGACTGACAAATTATGTTAGGTGAAAAAAAAAATCACCTTTCACAAATACAGCAATAACCTAAAACTGTAATTTAAAACCATAAAATGAAATTGAATTCAATAGCTTTCTATGCTTGGCTCAAAAAAAGAAAAAGAAAAAGAAAATAAGTAACTATAAATTTACGAGACTGATTGTTAGGAGAACAGAGTTTTATCTGACCACAAATTGTCTGTAATAAAATACAATTGGTGTATGCAGTAGTCAATGCAGTTGGAGTGGCCCAGAGTTTCTGAACTCTATGAGGATGTGTTTTCAAAAGAAGTCAGCTCACGTGTGAGGTGAAAAGCATGGACCCAGAATTTCTCTCCTGATATTCTGCAGCATAGGAGGTGGTTAGAAGTATTGCTATGGTCTTTCCCTCTAGGCTCAGAGAGCCTTGGCTGTAGTCTCCATTTTCCAATAGATCAAAGCAGCTGGATTTAGCCATGTTCCTTTAATTATTAATGTCTGGGAACTCTCAGTGGAAAGATTCTGTAATCAATTCTGAATTTTTAGTTATCAGGTTTAAAGTTTCCTTGTAATAATGTACCATGGCTCCCTTCAGTGGAGATGGTTCATACATTCTTTTGGCTATATTTTTACAGGATGTTTAGCACTTAACTTTATATGGAGATAATGGATATTTCCTACCAAGGGCAGATCTTAGATGTAGAAGATCTAATGGGAGTGTCTCTGACCAAAGAAGCCAAAATCTTTAGTCAAGTTTAACAATTAGTGTCTCTTATTCATTTAAATACCAATGTAGAGGTATCTTAGGCATAAATACATTTTTGTACAATAAATGAAATTTTACAAATTAATTTAAACATTTGTTCATTAAGTTTCATGGTTACTATATAATTTAGTAAGAATGACTTAAATCGGAATAATTTTATTCTTTGAAAAATTTTTTTTCATTTACATTTTATTTTTATTTTTGAGTATGTATGTGAGTGCCATGTGGAGGCCAGAAGAGGGCCTAGGATCTCATGAACCTGGAGTTCCAAGGAGTTTTAAGCCACCTGGTGTGGGTGCTGGAAACTGAACTCAAGCACTTTTAACCACTGAGCCATCTCTCCAACTCCTGAAATAATTAATTTCAACACAATTTTTTCTTACCTTAAGGCGGTCAGTACCTGGCATGTGGAGGCTTCAATGGGAAAATGTATCGGCAGCATTTAGTAAAATTTAATTACTGAGTTTTAAAAAATCCATTCAGTAAAAGAATTAGACTTCAAATCCCTTTTCTCTAAGCTTTGATTTTCCTTTCTGTAAGTGTTACTAGTGTAACTATCCTAGCAGAAGTTCAGATATTCTAGAGAGACAGCTATCAAATTATTGGGATAGTGGACTCCCAGCCATCCGAATTCTCCCAGAGATCACAGGAGTGCTGGCAGAAGGAAAGGCTGGAGCCCTTGTGCCAGCCAGAAGAGCAAATGGCCTTCCTGGAAGATATTTCACAGTTTTGACAA